CTCACCCACTCATTCACTCACTCGAAATAACTTTCTTTACTTTTTTAATTACATGAACCGCATTACATTATCAGGGGCATCGCTGCCATTATAGAAAAAAAACGGGCTTACACATGATTGTTGCTAAAAAAGGGTTGGGCACGCCCTCAATACAGTCTAAATATGAACATGTGCACCCTATCGGTCTTACACGAAAACATTGGCTTGCTACACACCTGATTATCACACACCAGACATCTAAGAACAGACAACGATGCTTACTACACGGCTCCCCGCACGCCCCCCTGCTGGTGATGATGACGTTGCTGATGCTGTAGTTAGCCACTAGGTCCACCATCCACCATGGCTGCAAGTCCCCAGTCTGAGCCGCCCAGCAGGACTCTGAGCTCCAGTTGTGGGAAGCGTTCCCATCCACAACACGGTCATCGGAGCTGTTTATCAAGGAGCTACTGGACGTGACAGGTTTGCTCGCCAGGTTTATTTCTAGGGGCGCTGAAGGTAATATATATTATAATTTAAAACGTTTCAGTTGGGAAATACATACCCATTTATCAAACAAGAACGCTGAGGATGTCCTCGTTTTGATTTATTTGAAGGGCACTGGGCCAAAAAACCATAGAAGACATTTCATATGCACATAATAGGTTATTATGAACATGTAGTTTCACATTAAAGTCCTTTTTGACAACAAAACGTTTTGTTTAATTTTCATTTGTTGTTCGGCTGTGTTATCTTTAGTTTGCTTTTTGTTGTTAATATATGTACTTGTTTGGTGTGCTTAGTTGGGTTTTTATGAGTGAGTTTATATTTCAGAAATATGTCTGTGGTGTTTTCAAACCTTATAATCACTGGTGTTGGTGGCATTATCATTCTGAAATAGTTACTGGGAAATTAAAGACTTTAAGAGTGTTGCGGAAGACAGCAAGGCACAAAGTCACCAATGCATTGTATTTCATGTCGTCATGGACACAAGCCAAGTCAACGACCATGTACAGCACCCTGACCCCAGGTATTGTCTCATGCCTTTGCGGACCAGTGTTGATCTATTTCGCTTGTAGATAATTGTCTTTTTGATTATATACAGGTACGTGTTATTTTATATTAAACGTGCATTTTGTGTTTGGTTGGCCTTGTGGCTAATACTGTCTGACGTCACACCAAAGGCTTGAGTTTGATACCTTACACTTTGAAATGTTGAACCTGGTGTCTTGGTTGTGTCCCTCGCCATCCTGTGGCTGGAAAATTGCTAAGAGCGGCGTAAAATCAGTTTGCACATTCAATATGTTACCACATGTCGATACTTCGTGTTTTGGGAAAAAAATGAAAGTCAGGACTATGGAAGTGGATACACCTTTGGTCAAGTGGTCAGTGATGGACTTGGATCTTGTACTGTTGCGCTCGGTACATCCTAAGCGTTAATAGCAACACTTCATCACAGATATGAAAGAAATGAACAAGAAAACAAATCTTTCCCTTTGACGAGGAGGTTTTTAACTAAACTAAGTTAATGTTCGTATTTTATTTGTTGATTGTTGTCTTTATAGGAAGTATTCTTCGGGACAGGTCTCAGAGCAAAGGCGGACAACATCCTTACTTATGTTTTGAAAAGGATCTTTTAAACAAGCATTAATCAAATTTACCTTGCGTCTGGGTGCTTGGAATCTCCTTGACTGCCTCTTTTACATCTCCTTGGGATGAAAGACATGAATATAATGTAGACATTGTCTTGAACAAGAACGTCTAATAGAAATATACATTGATTACTACCAGCATGTATCCTGAAGATGGCCCAACAGGACTCTGAGCTCCAGTTGTGGGAAGCGTTCCCATCCACAACACTGTGATCGGAGCTGTTTACCAAGGAACTACTGGACGTGACAGTTTTGCTCGCCAGGTTTATTTCTAGGGGCGTTGAAGGTAACACATATTATAATTTAAAACGTTTCAGTTGGGAAATACATACCCATTTATCAAACAAGAACGCTGAGGATGTCCTCGTTTTGATTTATTTGAAGGGCACTGGGCCAAAAAACCATAGAAGACATTTCATATGCACATAATAGGTTATTATGAACATGTAGTTTCACATTAAAGTCCTTTTTGACAACAAAACGTTTTGTTTAATTTTCATTTGTTGTTCGGCTGTGTTATCTTTAGTTTGCTTTTTGTTGTTAATATATGTACTTGTTTGGTGTGCTTAGTTGGTTTTTTATGAGTGAGTTTATATTTCAGAAATATGTCTGTGGTGTTTTCAAACCTTATAATCATTGGTGTTGGTGGCATCTATCATTCTGAAATAGTTACTGGGAAATTAAAGACTTTAAGAGTGTTGCGGAAGACAGCAAGGCACAAAGGCACCAATGCGTTGTGTTTCATGTCGTCATGGACACAAGCAAAGTTAACTACCATGTACAGCACCCTGACTCCAGATATTGCCTCATGCATTTGCGGACCAGTTTTGATCTATTTCGCTTGTAGATAATTGTCTTTTTAATTATATACAAGTACGTGTTATTTTATATTAAACGTGCATTTTGTGTTTGGTTGGCCTTGTGGCTAATACTGTCTGACGTCACACCAAAGGCTTGAGTTTGATACCTTACACTTTGAAATGTTGAACCTGGTGTCTTGGTTGTGTCCCTCGCCATCCTGTGGCTGGAAAATTGCTAAGAGCGGCGTAAAATCAGTTTGCACATTCAATATGTTACCACATGTCGATACTTCGTGTTTTGGGAGAAAAATGAAAGTCAGGACTATGGAAGTGGATACACCTTTGGTCAAGTGGTCAGTAGTGGTGTTCCGATTAATTGAAATAATCGAAGATTGGTCGCAGTGACCATACGACCAAGCAATCGATCACATTTTCTCATAATCGAACATAAACGATTTTGGAACTACTGTTTTAGTCTTTGAAAAACTTGACAATGGAACATACCTTAGAAATTGTCAGGGCCTGAAAACGTGTTAAATTCTTAGAAAACTCACTTCACTAACTGAAAAGCCATGACTGAATATTTCTCTAAGACTCCAGAAAGTTTATGTTCATGATATATTAGTCATCACTTTAAAGTAGCAAGTTGCATCATGTTATACATATCTGCAATAGCAACCTGGATTGGAAAATCTGAAAAATCTCGCTAACCGATTTTTTTCGATGATTGTTCGTTGGTAATAAAGCAATCATCAGTTGTGAGATTTCAACCAATTCCCAACACTAGTGGTTAGTGATGGACTTGGATCTTGTACTGTTGCACTCGGTACATCCTAAGCGTTAATAGCAACACTTCATCACAGATATGAAAGAAATGAACAAGAAAACAAATCTTCCCCTTTGACGAGGAGGTTTTTAACTAAACTAAGTTAATGTTCGTATTTTATTTGTTGATTGTTGTCTTTATAGGAAGTATTCTTCGGGACAGGTCTCAGAGCAAAGGCGGACAACATCCTTACTTATGTTTTGAAAAGGATCTTTTAAACAAGCATTAATCAAATTTACCTTGCGTCTGGGTGCTTGGAATCTCCTTGACTGCCTCTTTTACATCTCCTTGGGATGAAAGACATGAATATAATGTAGACATTGTCTTGAACATTAACGTCTAATAGAAATATACATTGATTACTACCAGCATGTATCCTGAAGATGGATACTCCCTCCTGTACATAGGCGAACTGTACAAGTGACTCACTAACACATACCTGACTCCCTCACTAACACATACATGACTCCCTCACTAACATATACATGACTCGCTCACTAACACATACCTGACTCCCTCACTAACACATACCTGACTCCCTCACTAACACATACATGACTCCCTCACTAACATATACGTGACTCCCTCACTAACACATACCTGACTTCCTCACTAACACATACATGACATACATGACACTAACATATACATGACTCCCTCACTAACACATACCTGACTCCTCACTAACACATACATGACTCCCTCACTAACACATACATGACTTCCTCACTAACATATACCTGACTCCCTCACTAACACATACATGACTCCCTCACTAACATATACATGACTACACACCATGACTAACATATACACTAACACATAACTACACATACATGACTCGGGCAATAACACATACCTGACTCCCTCACTAACATATACATGACTCACTAACATATACATGACCCTCACTAACATATACATGACTCCCTCACTAACACATACCTGACTCCCTCACTAACATATACATGACTCCCTCACTAACATATACCTGACTCCCTCACTAACATATACATGACTCCCTCACTAACACATACCTGACTACCTCACTAACACATGTATGACTTCCTCACTAACATATACATGACTCCCTCACTAACACATACATGACTCCCTCACTAACATATACATGACTCCCTCACTAACACATACATGACTCACTAACACATACATGACTCCCTCACTAACATATACATTACTCACTAACACATACCTGACTCGGGCAATAACACATACCTGACTCTCACTAACATAACACATGACTACATGACTAACATATACATGACTCCTCACTAACACATACCTGACTCCCCACTAACATATAACTCCTCACATACATGACTCGGTCACTAACACATACCTGACTCACTAACATATACCTGACTCCCTCACTAACATATACATGACTCCCTCACTAACACATACCTGACTACCTCACTAACACATGTATGACTTCCTCACTAACATATACATGACTCCCTCACTAACACATACATGACTCCCTCACTAACATATACATGACTCCCTCACTAACACATACATGACTCACTAACACATACATGACTCGGTCAATAACACATACCTGACTCGGTCAAGAATACATACATGACTCTGTCAATAACACATACCTGACTTGGTCAATAACACATACATGACTCCCTCACTAACACATACATGACTCCCTCACTAACACATACCTGACTTCCTCACTAACACATACCTGACTCCCCCACTAACACATACCGGACATCTGGAACTCGACAGTCCGGACAGCCATTGGTCCTTTCATGGACACAGCAGGGACAAAATCTCCCTCTACACCGACCTGCACGTCTTTCAAGTCTTTACCGTCAACACTCACCTGCGGATCACATACAACAGTGAACAATGGCATCAATAATTCGTAAGTGAGTGAGTATGGTTATACGCCGCCAGAAATGGGCTTCAACACTGTACACATGTGGCGGATCAAACCGGGATATTCGCCGAAATAAGCGAACGCTTTAACTACTAGACTATCACAGCCCCCAAAATGGCCCCTGAAACAACGTATAGTCCGTTAGGCTCAAAAGCGGACCGATGAATTGCAATCTAACTCGAAAACTAATAAACATAAAATACTCAATGAAACGCTGATCATAAGCAAAACATCAGACCAACTCTGTGATTTGTTTGCAGAATTTATGTTCTAAAATTAAAAAAGTTGTTTAACAAACTATCATTAAAAATTTGACACAATTCACTATTTGTTACGAGGGAGGAGAGCAGAGAAAGGGACAGCCAGGTGTGCGAGAAAGGATGGAGACGGCACAGCACAGGTTAATGAATCAATAACGTTGTCGGCTTCTCTTGCTTCTCTGACACCTGACTGTCCCTTTCTCTGCACTCCTCCCTCGTAACAAATAGTGAATTGTGTCAAATTTTTAATGATAGTTTGTTAAACAACTTTTTTAATTTTAGAACATAAATTCTGCAAACAAATCACAGAGTTGGTCTGATGTTTTGCTTATGATCAGCGTTTCATTGAGTATTTTATGTTTATTAGTTTTCGAGTTAGATTGCAATTCATCGGTCCGCTTTTGAGCCAAACGGACTATAGTGTCCTATCTTAGTACCGCTACAAAGTGTAATTGGTACGGTTTGTTAACTGGTTATAGGTATCCATTATCCATGTCTGAGGATAAGTTGTGGCACACGTATTTGTTTGTTTGCAAGTTTCCTTCGATATTCTAAGTAAGTATGTGTTTGTTGTTTAATGCCGTACTGAACAATACCTTTTCTATGTAACACTGGTGTCTACATAATCATGTCTGGACAGGATAATCCGGTGATTGCCGAAGTGAGCATCGATCCACGTATATAATGTGCTGTGTCGACATTAATCAACAACCCTTCGAGCCTGACCACTCGATCAATGTAGTCACCACTGCCTCCCACAAACACCCCCACCCCACCCTACACACCCTACCCCCGACACGGAATCACCACATGTAGTACTGACACACATATTGACGGATCTTAAGTCCTTGTATAAATAAATATATATTTAAAGTGAAAATCAACAAAACATAACGCTGGACTTTGAATTAAAAGGATCTAGAAAACAAATACCAAGCTTCATGTGTCTTGTGGAGATATTATTGCGACGTATACCTGTACACAAGTACAATCATCTTATTGAAAACATATTTACATCACTGTATGTCTCGATACCAGTCTGTTAATAATTCACATATGTGTAAGACTACGTTTCGGCACCAACAGGTCGACGTATTTTAGCTGCCATAACCAGTAGAATAAAGACTCATGGAGTAACACAAAGCTGTTGTCAATGCAACTTGTTAAGTTAATGGGGTTCAGCTGTCACTCACACGGAAGCTCTTGACCAGATACGTGATGACCATGTGAAACTCTTGACCCACGTTGAACGGGAAGGAGTCGACGATGACATCGCCGGTCACGTTGCTGGACAGCACGAAGGTGTTGATGTACTGACCACTGGCGAAGATGACCCTGGCTGTCATGACGGGCGTGTGTCTGGTGGTGGCAGTGTTGACAATATGTATCTCAATCCTGGGAACAGAATAACACAATCTCAATTCACTGGCCAGAGACCCTTCCACGAAACGATCTTATCGCAACGATCATCGTAATTCTACGTGAAAGGAAGGGCGTTACGATCACCTTACATGACATGGAACGGTCCTTGAGATACAGCACCAGGCTCAGCATGACATGGACATCCGTTCTAATGAGTACTTCAAGGCATTGGTTTCACTCCGCCGCCATATAGCTGGAATATTGCTGAGTGCGGCGTAAAACTAAACTTACTCACTAAATCATTGGTTTCATCGAATACCCAGTGAGTATTTAGCTGGTAGTTGTAAATAAACCCAATTTATCTCTAGGCCGTACATTAAGCAGCCGCTTTATCGTTCTAGCCTTCTTCAATACATTCAACTAGTATCTAACTCACTTTTAAAGACATTAAAAATCCAATATTAAGAAAATTACATTTGTAAACATAGAACTTAGCTATAGTGAAGACAAACTTAATAATCATTTCCTTAGAACTGTTAAAGTTGTGGTATCCAAGCAGTACCATATCTGTGTAACTATGTGGCATACCTTAGCACCAAGCAGAAAATGGGTACCCGGTGGGATAAATCTGCCTTACAGGTAGCAAATACACTGTGTTAAAGTATCATAAATGAACTGCAAATAGGTGCCATTCTATGAATTCGAATCAGAAACATAGTACTTTTGGCATCATCAGTTATTTAAAGTATGCTCTTATTACAGCTATCGCAATTCGTAAAATCTTTAAAATATTCATTACCAGGCAATACGTTATGAATTATCTTAAACTGCAATTGCAAAAACATTCGTCTTGAGGCAACTTCATAACTGGTATTAAGTCTTGATTAATCGTGTGTGCTTTGTTAGTTTGTCCACAAATACTGGTTCCACTGAGTCTTTATCACTGCGAACATAGATGCTGCAGTGTTACCTGACATTGTCAATTTGGTCCAGTCAAACCTGAGTACACACTGCTACATGTTTTCTTTGACTCTTCACTTGGACCTTGCTTGACTGGTTGTGATTCAGTGACTGACTGAGTTTGGTTTTACGCCGCTTTTAGCAATATTCCAGCTACATCACGGCGGGGGACACCAGGAAAGGGCTTCACACATTGTACCCATGTGGGGATTCGAACCCGGGTCTTCGGCTTGACGAGCCAACGCTTTAACCATTAGGCTACCCCACCGCCCTGTGATTCAGTGAGTGAGTATGGCTTGACGCCACTATTAGCAATATTCCAGCAATATCACAGCGGGTGACACCAGAAATGGGCTTCACACATTGTAGCCTACCTATATGTGCGGGATGTAACGCAGGTCTTCAGCTTGACGAGCGAACGCTTTAATCACTAGGCTACCCAAACGCCCGGTTTGAATTGAACTGAGCAGAAAATACTGGGAATGTTGACTCACAGACGTCTCACAATGTTTTCATTTTGTTCAACGCTGTACATCGACTATGGTTATATGTTTGAGTTACCAGCCTATTTTAGCAAAACAGCAACCAAGTATGTGTGGATAAAAGCACCAAAAACATATTTGTTATAATTCAACACCCCGACCATTGTACAGTACCATGTAAATAGTGATGCTACCAGGTGTCTACGATAAGGTAAGCGTTTCCAGTCGCACCTGTGGAGTGGGTGAGTGAGAATGGTTTTACGCCGCTCTTAGCAATATTCCAGCAATATCACGGTGGGGGACACCAGAAATGTGCTTCACACATTGTACCCATGTGGGGAATCGAACCCGGGTCTTCGGCATCACGAGCGAACGCTTTAACCACTAGGCTCCCCCACCGCCCAGCCCCCACCTGTTGCATACATCATAAATACATGTAAAGGCAAGTCAAGTGTTCACCCGACACTACACAGGATCATGGCGACTGGTCAAAATAATGAATTGTATTGTAAAGATTTTGTCCCATTAGGGAATGTGCTGCACGCGTCTGTCATACAGCAGTGCGAAAGCTTTATGAACTTTCATGCAGTCACGTACCGTAAAGTGTTCATGAAGTCACGTACTGTAAATGGTTCATGCAGTCACGTACTGTAAATGGTTCATGCAGTCACGTACTGTAAATGGTTCATGCAGTCACGTACTGTAAAGTGTTCATGCAGTCACGTACTGTAAAGTGTTCATGAAGTCACGTACTGTAAATGGTTCATGCAGTCACGTACTGTAAAGTGTTCATGCAGTCACGTACTGTAAAGTGTTCATGTAGCCACGTACTGTAACTGGTTCATGCAGCCACGTACTGTAAATGGTTCATGAAGTCACGTACTGTAAAGTGTTCATGAAGTCACGTACTGTAACTGGTACATGCAGCCACGTACTGTAACTGGTTCATGCAGCCACGTACTGTAAAGTGTTCATGCAGCGACGTACTGTAAAGTGTTCATGAAGTCACGTACTGTAACTGGTTCATGCAGTCACGTACTGTAAATGGTTCATGCAGTCACGTACTGTAAATGGTTCATGCAGTCACGTACTGTAAAGTGTTCATGCAGTCACGTACTGTAAAGTGTTCATGAAGTCACGTACTGTAACTGGTTCATGCAGCCACGTACTGTAACTGGTTCATGCAGCCACGTACTGTAAAGTGTTCATGCAGCGACGTACTGTAAAGTGTTCATGAAGTCACGTACTGTAACTGGTTCATGCAGTCACGTACTGTAAATGGTTCATGCAGTCACGTACTGTAAATGGTTCATGCAGTCACGTACTGTAAAGTGTTCATGCAGTCACGTACTGTAAAGTGTTCATGCAGCCACGTACTGTAAAGTGTTCATGCAGCCACGTACTGTAACTGGTTCATGCAGCCACGTACTGTAAAGTGTTCATGCAGTCACGTACTGTAAAGTGTTCATGCAGCCACGTACTGTAACTGGTTCATGCAGCCACGTACTGTAAAGTGTTCATGCAGCCACGTACTGTAAAGTGTTCATGCAGTCACGTACTGTAAAGTGTTCATGCAGCCACGTACTGTAACTGGTTCATGCAGCCACGTACTGTAAAGTGTTCATGCAGCCACGTACTGTAAAGTGTTCATGCAGCCACGTACTGTAACTGGTTCATGCAGCCACGTACTGTAAAGTGTTCATGCAGTCACGTACTGTAAAGTGTTCATGCAGCCACGTACTGTAACTGGTTCATGCAGCCACGTACTGTAAAGTGTTCATGCAGCCACGTACTGTAACTGGTTCATGCAGCCACGTACTGTAAAGTGTTCATGCAGCCACGTACTGTAACTGGTTCATGCAGTCACGTACTGTAAAGTGTTCATGCAGCCACGTACTGTAAAGTGTTCATGCAGCCACGTACTGTAACTGGTTCATGCAGCCACGTACTGTAAAGTGTTCATGCAGCCACGTACTGTAAAGTGTTCATGCAGCCACGTACTGTAACTGGTTCATGCAGCCACGTACTGTAAAGTGTTCATGCAGTCACGTACTGTAAAGTGTTCATGCAGCCACGTACTGTAAAGTGTTCATGCAGCCACGTACTGTAACTGGTTCATGCAGCCACGTACTGTAACTGGTTCATGCAGCCACGTACTGTAAAGTGTTCATGCAGCCACGTACTGTAACTGGTTCATGCAGCCACGTACTGTAAAGTGTTCATGCAGCCACGTACTGTAAAGTGTTCATGCAGCCACGTACTGTAAAGTGTTCATGCAGCCACGTACTGTAACTGGTTCATGCAGCCACGTACTGTAACTGGTTCATGCAGCCACGTACTGTAAAGTGTTCATGCAGTCACGTACTGTAAATGATTCATGCAGTCACGTACTGTAACTGGTTCATGCAGCCACGTACTGTAAAGTGTTCATGCAGTCACGTACTGTAACTGGTTCATGCAGTCACGTACTGTAAATGGTTCATGCAGTCACGTACTGTAACTGGTTCATGAAGTCACGTACTGTAAAGTGTTCATGCAGTCACGTACAGATAGTTCAGGGCAATACAGACAGGATATTCGAATCCCATAATACTGAAAAGACTTACTCTTGAGCCATAGTGGGTGTCGCAAATACGTGGATCTTCGTTGAATACACAGGGGGACATCCCATTTGGATAACATTCTCCTTGGTCTGCAAACAATATCACCATACATTTACGAAATGTGTATTTACAAAAAAGAATACTGAACGAATAACAACAAAAAGTAAGTAAAAATATGTGATGACCATGAAATAATTTGCCCCTTCACCCCAATGCTAATAAATCAGTGAGCAAATATAGGCGATATAGATACAATATCACACAAACAGAAGAAGAAAAGGGCGTGAACTGGGAGGGTTTTCCAGTTATATTGAATTTATTTGTGATTAGGGCAGAGGCCAATTTACAGGTGACAATTCAAATTGCAATAATACACATATATACTCATGCCAATAATGGTTCTCACCCCCTCCACCCCCGACCTCACGACCTCACCCCACACCCCCTCTCCAATTAAAAAAATTGAAGAGGGTGACAACCATTATTGGCATGAGTAAATATCAGGGCGTGTCAGCTTAGAGTTGGAAAAGACGTTTATCACCTGGTGAACTCCACAATCACAGCTGTGGAAGGATAACAATAAATGGATGAAAACTTCTTTATTAAAGTGAGAGCTCTTGTGGACTAGTTGGACTGGTCTCACTGTAGTAAAGAATATCTATATGTTGTTATCCTTCCTTAGTGCCACAAGTTCTTAATGCCTCTGATCACCGCTGTGGTGCTGACAAACCTATAGCCAGGAATCCATAGCCTAGAACAAGGATTCGAATCCACAATCACAGGTTTTCTTGGCGACCCGGGGACGCAACTCTGCATCGCTAATTGCCATATCTACAGTGTACTGCCAAATGGTGTGGTGTGGTGTGGTGTGGTGTGGTGTATTGTGGTGATATACTAAGCACCAAAAGAAACGTCAGTATGGAATTTTCCTTCGCAGAAACGGATAACTGTAGACTCACTTAATGTTTTGATTGTATATTTTTGACAACATCTCCAACTTTACCTGAGCAAAGACATTCCTTCACAAACTCAGAATGGAACCCCGGAAATGGTCTCAAAAACGCAACCTGATCTCGGAGATGGTACGGTGTTCTCCATGTTTTTCATGCAACTCATGCTGCACGTGCTGTTCACAAGGACCAGCCCTATAATATGCACCCCCAAACCTGGTTGAAACATTCACATTACAACGTCAGCAGGATGCCGCGACTCACGACAGCTGAGAGGAATCAGGCGTTAGGAAGACTTGAAGCTGGCCACAATGCACAAGCCGTTGCCATTTACTTCCAGGTCAACGTACGGACCAGCTACAGGCTGCAGCAACGTTTCCGGGCCACCAACACCACAAATGATCGCCCCCGTACTTGCAGACCAAGGGTGACCACAAGACAAGACCGCCATGTTGTGCGACAGCATGTACAGAATCCCTTCATACAGGCATCCGAAACAGCACGCTAGACAGTGGGAACATACAACACCAAAACTGGCTACACAGGCAATGGAGGATGGTTCTGTTCACAGATGAGAGTCGATACTGCGTATCAACTGCAGATGGCAGAACAAGAATATGGCGGCGATGTGGCCAGCGTTACTCAGACCAATGGGTTATGGTAAGAAACTCATCCGGAGGTGCAAGCACCATGGTATGAGGTGGAATAGGCCTGAACCAGAGAGTAGGGTCCTGTGGTGTTCCAAAACCTTGGTCCAGTGAGAGGAGGCGGCATCACAGAGGTGCGCTACATCGACCGAACTCTCAGACCCCACGTCATACCACATTTCGCACGTCACCAGAACAACATTTTCCAGCATGATAACACCCGGGCTTATACTGCCAGAGCTACACGGGACTTCCTACAGCAGAACGGTGTCAACATTATGCAGTGGCCAGCCCTTAAACCTGATTTGGGATGTGGTTTAAGGTGCCAATGGCTTTCATCAATCGATTGGTGCACTCCATGCATAGACGCTGTGCTGCAGTTTGCCGCTCGTGGTGGTCACACTAGATACTGAAGTCAAGGGTCTGAATGGACTGCAAACGTTCACGTAATGTCTTGGAATTGTGCTGAGTCATTCATTGATGTGTCAAAATATTGTACACAAAAGATGTTTTTGATCCGCTTATTTCCATTTCTGTAATGATTTGATTACAGTGCCTATCTAATTTTGAATTAGTGCTGACTTTTCTTTTGCTGCTGAGTAAATTATCGAGAGAATGTAAAACATACTATATCAGGGTTATTGAATGTTGTCAGGAAACACATTCCATCCACCGTCTGCCAGATCCCGCCGAGGCAAGTGCTAGATGGCGGGGATTCCCCACACTGAGCCGTGCCCCTACCACACCTGTATCTGGCCACTAGCGACCGTCCCGTAGTTTCTACCGTCACGTTCGCTCCTCCAAATGTCGGTGGTGGCAATGCACAGTCGAAAGGGCCCCGTCCTGAAATGAGTAAGACTTATACTGTACACAATATACAGATATAGGCAACTTGGAAGGACTGACTGACTGACTGACTGAGTTTGGTTTTACGCCGCTTTTAGCAATATTCCAGCAACATCACGGCGGGGGACACCAGAAATGGGCTTCACACATTGTACCCATGTGGGGATTCGAACCCCAACTTGGAAGGAACCGCCACCAACCATGAAAGGACTCATAAACTATAATTGGTTTGGTGTGGTTTGGCTAGTTGTTTACCGCTGCAGCTGTATGGCGGCGGCCAGTAAATACTCTAGTTTGGATCAGACAATCCAGTGATCATCAGCATGGACATCGATCTACACAATTGGGATACGATGACACGTGTCAACCAAGCGTGTCTGACCACCCGTTCCCCGTTAGTCGCCTCCTACGACAAACATGTGTTACTGAAGATCAATCCTAACCCGGATCTTCACGAGTGTCGTGAGCCAGGAAATCGCAAAGAACAATACCCCTTTCTCTTGGTCTCGACCTCAAAACACAATGGGCGCAAGCTGGCAATGATTTTCTAACTTGTTTGTGATCATTAAACGCATTCATGCCTGTGTAACAATCATTCATATGATGATAATAAGTATGACATATGGTGGATGCTCAAAATTATTTCCCTGGTGTCTAGAACTGAATGCACCTATTTTCATTCTCTGTCTCTGCGGATAGTACAACCTTGTGAGGCGCTAGAAGGTTACCAGGTACAACATCATCTCACCCTACAGGGTACCCATTAACTGCTCTTTGAACAGGGGCATATTGCAAAGAAAGTCATTTGGTTGAGGGGTCTCCACGTGCTGAGACAGGACCGGAGACTTCATAGTAAAGCCTACCCCTCAAACCATCCATCAGAATAAAGTTAATTAATTTACCAATGGCTCATTTCTAATCCCAGATTCCCGGGTTTTGATCCCTGATTGTACCAGTTGTAAATGAACATCATCCTTCTACATTTCAAGCTGACACGTTACCCGGCATGTGATCCAACGCATTCCCTCAAGTACAATGACCTACGTTTAATGACATCGGTTCCTCTCGTCCAAACGAGTCTCCTGATGATGAAGTTGAGGTCAGTCCCTGATACAGAATGTATGGTCCTCGGGTCTATCATGTTGGGTAATGCCAAAACGCCGCGATCGTTGACAGATATCTGAAAGAAAAATAGTCATATCTTTAAAGCAGTTGTATTACTATAAGTGTGTGTGTGTGTGCGTGTGTATTTTCCTGACGTACGCACTTGTGTGCAGATGTTTACATACAGTAGAGACATTATTAATCACATGCAGTGTTCACATACATACAATGTTCGCCTTTTGCACACACTTACAACTGTTCACTTGCGCTGGTTCGTCACGCCCAAGACCAGAGTTCGATTCACCACATGGGTATAACGTGTGAAGTCCATTTCTGGTGTCCCCCGCCGTGATATTGCTGGAATTAGCGGCGTAAAACCAAACTCACTCACTTAGATAAAGATATTCTTGCAGTTAACACATACAGGTGTTCTTCAGTACACACATACAGGCGTTCTGCAGTAAACACATACAGCTGTTCTCCTGCAGGCCATACTTACATACAGATGGTCCGGGAGTATCGTGAGCACCACGTGCCATTCCGTATCCGACTTGAGGGAGGTCACGTCGCTTGCCGGTACGGCATTTCCTATGACGGCGTTTTCTTTAAACGTATAAGCCTCCAGACCATTAGTAGATGGTAAATATTCCAAGACAATTCCGTTAGCTCTGAACCCATCCAGAAAATATATTTGCGGTCTAAGCAAGAAACAAAAACACATTTGCCGATAAAATATAGCTTCTTATGTCCTTCTGTAGCAAAATATAGATTCCCATTAAAGATCGACATCTATCAAACAATTTGCGGACAACGTCAACGCTGCCGTTGTACAACTCAGCCTTAGCGCAATGATTATCGTAAGGCGCTTCAATCGCTTTTTACAATGGCATCTATTGAAACACTCGGCTCTTGAATATGAAGTTTGAAGTTTACTGGGATAATCTTTGGCAGCAGTGTTAACACATTGTCCATTGTTCTAAAATATGAGTTCTTTTGCTCCCATATATGTACGGTAAATGTTTGTAGCGTCGTTGGTGTTATATCTGTGTTCAACAGGAGCATCAACATTAGTACTTCTTATGTCTCTGTATGGTGAGGTGAGGTGAAATTAGGTTTAACGTCGTACTTGAGAATATTTCGCTCATATGACGACGTGCTATGTGTGTATGTGTATGTGCGGCTGCTTGTACTAGCCCAGACTTAAGCTGGTTTTATAGTGATAGCCCACTGAGGTACCATGCCGCAGTGAAGCATGAATACCCCACTCAGACACATTATAGTGACTCCGAGCCGACCAGTACTTGTTGTACCCATTAATGCCGAGCGCCAGGCAAGGACCAACAAGTACCATATTTTAACGTCTTTTGGTACGGCGCGGTCGGGGATCGAACCCGCGACCTTCCGCTCTCAGGGCGGACGCTCCAACCACTACACCACGGAGGCGGTCTCTGTATGGCATCGAAGGCAAATTGATGTCGAAAATTGTTTAATATATAGATGTCGATGTTGAATGGAAATCGAAGACAGACCCATATCGAAGGTAAACATTAAGGAGTTAATGTTTTATACACACTGTCGTTTCTGAGCGCCATGACATCTACATAAAACAGGGTATTCTTGTCGATGAAAAAGCCGCGCTCTAAATTGCAGCTTTATTTAGGAGGAGGTTTCCGGTGGTACAGAAATGAAGGTAAATCTTGCAGGGTGATGCCGTTTATGCTTGTTTATTCTGGTGTCAACTGGTCTGACGTCATACGAATGCATGTTATCGGAGTTATCGGAGATGAACATTTTATTGGTTTGAGAATGAATATGAACTTACTGTTGTGGAGAGGGTGTTACCCATAGTTCCAGAGAGTCACCCAACCGGATGTGACAATCAAGTTCTACCACCGACATCTGTGTTTAGAACAAGTACTGAAGACACCATACTAAAGGACACACTTCAAAAGACAGTCAAACTCTTATCATTGCAGTCACATACATTTAGGCAACAGTGCATGGGAAAATAAACTGCATTGACCATTTGACAAATTACGCGTCCCGATGTCATGAAGAAGAACAGAGAAACTTACACGCATGACTCAAAATCAAGCTGAATGTTACTGTTAAAGCTGACAAGGGAAATGATTGCCACTCAATGCGTCAAATATTTTTAAAAAATCAAATATTTTGTGTCAGAATTTTGCATTGATCGCCAAAACAACACTCTAGATCTGTTATCCATGATATGAACGGAAACGTTTTATGTCGTTTACATAGAGGGAACCTTAGAGGAATACGGAATGTTAACTGTCAGTGATGTAGAGGAATTCGGAATGTTAACTGTCAGTGCTGTAGAGGAATTCGGAATGCTAACTGTCAGTGCTGTAGAGGAATTCGGAATGTTAACTGTCAGTGCTGTAGAGGAATTCAGAATGTTAACTGTCAGTTCTGTAGAGGAATACAGAATGTCAACTGTCAGTGCTGTAGAGGAATTCGGAATGTTAACTGTCAGTGCTGTAGAGGAATTCAGAATGTTAACTGTCAGTGCTGTAGAGGAATTCGGAATGTTAACTGTCAGTGCTGTAGAGGAATTCGGAATGTTAAATGTTAGTGCTGTAGAGGAATACGGACTGTGAACTGTCAATGCTGTAGAGGAATACGGACTGTGAACTGTCAATGCTGTAGAGGAATACGGACTGTTAACTGTCAATGCTGTAGAGGAATTCGGAATGTCAACTGTCAGTTCTGTAGAGGAATTCAGAATGTTAACTGTCAGTGCTGTAGAGGAATTCAGAATGTTAACTGTCAGTGCTGTAGAGGAATACAGAATGTCAACTGTCAGTGCTGTAGAGGAATTCGGAATGTTAACTGTCAGTGCTGTAGAGGAATTCTGAATGTTAACTGTCAGTGATGTAGAGGAATTCGGAATGTCAACTGTCAGTGCTGTAGAGGAATATGGACTATTAACTGGCAGTGCTGTAGAGGATTTCGGAATGTTAACTGTCAGTGATGTAGAGGAATACGAAATGTTAACTGTCAATGCTGTAGAGGAATTCGGACTGTTAACTGTCAGTGCTGTAGAGGAATTCGGAATGTCAACTGTCAGTGCTGTAGAGGAATATGGACTGTTAACTGTCAGTGTTGTAGAGGAATAAGGACTGTTAACTATCAGTGCTGTAGAGGAATTCGGAATGCAACTGTCAGTGCTGTAGAGGAATTCGGAATGTTAACTGTCAGTGCTGTAGAGGAATTCGGAATGTCAACTGTCAGTGCTGTAGAGGATTTCGGAATGTTAACTGTCAATGCTGTAGACGAATACAGAATGTCAACTGTCAGTGTTGTAGAGGAATTCGGAATGTTAACTGTCAGTGCTGTAGAGGAATTCGGAATGTTAACTGTCAGTGCTGTTGAGGAATTCAGAATGTTAACTGTCAGTGCTGTAGAGGAATTCGGAATGTTAACTGTCAATGCTGTAGACGAATACTGAATGTTAACTGTCAGTGCTGTAGAGGAATTCGGAATGTTAATTGTCAATGCTGTAGATGAATACAGAATGTCAACTGTCAGTGATGTAGAGGAATTCGGAATGTTAACTGTCAGTGCTGCAGAGGAATACAGAATGTTAACTGTCAGTGATGTAGAGGAATTCGGAATGTTAACTGTCAGTGCTGTAGAGGAATACAGAATGGCAACTGTCAGTGCTGTAGAGGAATTCGGAATCTCAACTGTCAATGCTGTAGATGAATACAGAATGTCAACTGTCAGTGATGTAGAGGAATTCGGAATGTTAACTGCCAGTGCTGCAGAGGAATACAGAATGTCAACTGTCAGTGCTGTAGAGGAATTCGGAATCTCAACTGTCAATGCTGTAGATGAATACAGAATGTCAACTGTCAGTGCTGTAGAGGAATTCGGAATGTTAACTGTATGACAGAAGCAAATTGACTGCTAACTCTCAAAAACTGACTTCACTTCTGACGTTATTGAAATGTAGACCCACACGTTCAAAGACAGCCTGTTTACAGATGATGTCGGCATCTGTCCAGCCTGAGCTGGAATTACACCTGATGGAGGTCCTCCCGCTACACAGGGCAAACCCTTCCTGACACTGGTAGGTCGCTGTTGCCGACGTGGCCGAGTGGGACACCTGGACAGAGGCACCCCCGGGAAGAGGTGGGTGGGGGCAGTCGAATGGGGACCAGTCGGTAACAACTCCTGAAAGAGTGAACAAAAAAAATATATAACAGTAGTTTATTTAAATTGAACCAATGTGGCATCCAGAAGTGCGTGATTGTAGCATTTAGCTGCTTTCTTCCGCGTTCCACTTACATGACGCTGGCTATACCTAATCGAGTTTGGGCCAGGCGAAACAAATGATGGACAGCATGGGCACATAGACACCAAGGCCATAGAACCATAAAATCTGATTCCATTTAGTAGCTTGTTTCTGGTTCCCGTGTGGTATTGTGACAGATTCAATCTTTTCATGTGGTTATATATATGTGTATATTTTACATGGCTTCATATGTTGGGTAACATATCTATATTTTACCCGGTGTTTTCGTCACTATCAGCTAGAGTCAGCTGTACGATTCCGACTATATCATAAACATGTACTCATATATCACGATCAATTAGTAAGGATAACAGGTGTGCGCAAAACGGTTCGTACCTTGTTTTGTTGCTTTTGACACAAACACCTCCACTTCACACATCGTCATTGAGTCACTGGCAGCCAGTTTCTTCATGCTACCAATCCTGACATAGCGACCAAAGACGCCAGGCAGACAGTCTAGCATCAGACGTTTACCGTGGGGAAACTGACCAGGGTAGGAGTAGCAGGTCTTGGAGGGTGTGGCAGGGTAGAGTGTGGGGTCGTGAAGCAGCACCTCCACCTCGAAATCATGGAGAAACTTCTCTATAACACGTACATATTAAGATTATTGATAAAATCGTACTTGCTGAACGTAATGTGAATATATAGTGAAAGTGACTTTATAAATATGCATGAGAAGGCATTTATTCATTCGTCAACAGTATTTTATAACGTGGTTTATCCCTTACCGCAGCCTGCACACCTCTTATTGTGTGTGACGGCCACCCTGTCGATGTAGTAGTAGCTCTGTAGGTCCACCTGCCACCATGGGTTGGGGTCCTGGGTGGACACCTGCCAACACGTCGTGCTGGTGGATGTAGCTGAGGGGTGGCCGTCCACCAGTCTTCCAACAGGGCTGCCAGAAGTTGAAGACCCTTTGGCCGGCTTCAGAAGTGCAACATTGCCGCTGATGGCTTCTGTAAGCAGACAAACAAGCTCACATCGTTACTTATTATTTCTCCAGCCAGATTCTGATGTGCATCATGCCTGCTGATGATTTGTGCAAATAGACAAGATAATGTGATAACAAATATGTTCTTGGCGCAAAACCACCCGTTAAGCTCCGGGTTAGAATCGGTCTTCAGTAACCCATGCTTCTCGTAAGAGGCGACTAACGGGAATGGGTGTTCAGGCTCGCTGACTTGGTTGACACATGTCATCGGTTCCCAACTGGTTATTGACAGGTTTTTCAGTGTTTCAAAAGGCCCATTTAAGAAATAGTTTACCTCTTTCCATTCCACTCAGATCTCCTTTGCTAAGTTTCAGCTTCCTCAGAGGTAGGTTTGTAAACAGAAGACGTTCAGCCTTCAGAGTATCGAATACGTGGCCAATTGCCGCTATCGTCTGTCCGTTTATATCAAGCTGTAATGGAAACGAATAACCGGAATTGTCAGGATCAGAAGACAAGTTGCACATTTTCCAAACCTTTATCAGACATTTGCAGACTGTGAGAAGAGATTTGCAATAACGAATTGACGTATGTCTTTCCAAAGCTCTCACCACCGTAAGGTGTAAGGCATTAAACGTCATACAGAAGATCCCGGGCTCAGTTCCCACATGGGTTCAATGTGTCAAACCCATTTCAGGTGTCCTCCGCCATGATATTACTGGGAGCGTCGGAAACCCATACTCACTCACTAAAATTAAGTGTAGCTTGCGGGTTTGCACTTCTTTCTTGTAGTCGGGACTCTCACTATCAATGTACCCATGAAGGTCCGGGTTAGAATCGGTCTTCAGTAACCCATGCTTGTCGTAAGAGGCGACTACCGAAATCGGGAGGTCAGGTTCGCTGACTTGGTTGACACATGTCATCGTATCCCAATTGCGTAGATCGATGTTCATGCTGTTGATCACTGGATTGTCTGGTCCAGACTCGATTATTTACAGACCGTCGTCATATATATAGCTGGTATATTGCTGAGGGCGGCGTAAAACTAAACTAACTCATTATTAACATACTTACCAATATACTTTCCGGGAGGATTGTTAATACAATGTGAGCTGGCTGATGTGGAGCAAACGGGAGGGTCAGGAGACGATGGTTCTCTCCATGATGACGAATGTAGGCGAAGGGCTGTGTATCAGTGGTTGAATCCATGACAAGCTCCATTGCTGTGCTGTTGTTGTCAGTCAGGAGAGTCATCTTCACGCTAGAAACACATCAGGATAATTCACACATTTAATCAAAATGAGGATAGTAAATGTGTCGATTGTGAGCAAACCCAAAACGTTAATTTGACCACAGATTGGTGCCTTAACCGGATTTGGAAAATAGCAAAATGAAAAGCGTCCATATTCTTTCATTGTCCAAAAAATGTCATCTCTAGCAGAACTAATTGGACGATTCCGAATCTGTTTAATAAAGATGGTACCAACTGTTCGATAAATCTGAGCGCATCCGTTTTAACCCATAACCCATACTGGCGATTAGGTGCCTGACTCTGAGGGTGTGGGTTCGAATCCCGGATAGGACTCATCCCCTCTAAAAAGTACCAGAATCTGTACTTTACTAAGAAAGTGTAATCCCAAATATAGCATATGTTACATTTGACCATTTTCTAAATGTGATCGTGTAACCATATGAACACAATAAGATACGTGTGTTTATTACCCACGTGGTCAACGTATGGGTAGTTGCATACTGATCTCGTACGTCACACGAGTGTCGTATCGCGTTGACCTGTGTCGTGACGACTTGACCTGAGATTCTAACGATTTGATTGGATAACTGATGACCTCTCAATTAGGTCACGTTGTGACGGAACTACTTGTCCATTCATAACAAACACGCAAATTCATTCATTCTACAACTTATATGCATTGAGGGAATGTAAACATTGCGAACGTTGCCGTATCGCTGTTTAATTGTGAGTCGAACTGAGACATTATATCCGTCGAAAAACATAAACGCAATGTTTCCACCAGTGATGTTAGCCAATTGAAGCAACTGCAAACAAAGAAACGGGGTGCTACCGAGTAGTTTAATGTAGGAGGCTGTACGAGGCGATGACAACTGACATGCATCGTGACGTTGGTTACCAATGGGGCAGACGAGCAAGGCGTAGTCACGTCATTACATTGGGACGTCATGCAAAAAGAGTACTATAGAACAAAATTCTTCCGCAACCTCTTTATGAAACCGGGTTCGGTTTGAAACCAACAAAATACCCTGTTTTGTCAATTTAATGCATGTAAAACGTGGGTAATAAATAAAAATACCACACTCGGTCTCATAACATACGAATTATACGAAACTCGTTACCTTCCTATGAGACCTCGTGTAGTATTTTCTATATATCCTACAGAAAGTGTTTACATCCTACAGAAAGTGTTTACATCCTTCAGAAAGTGTATACATCCTACAGAAAGTGTTTACATCCTACAGAAAGTGTTTACATCCTTCAGAAAGTGTTTACATCCTACAGAAAGTGTTTACATCCTTCAGAAAGTGTTTACATCCTACAGAAAGTGTTTACATCCTACAGAAAGTGTTTACATCCTTCAGAAAGTGTTCACATCCTACAGAAAGTGTTTACATCCTACAGAAAGTGTTTACATCCTACAGAAAAAGTTTACAACCTTCACAAAGTGTTTACATCCTACAGAAAGTGTTTACATCCTACAGAAAGTGTTTACATCCTACAGAAAGTGTTCACATCCTACAGAAAGTGTTCACATCCTACAGAAAGTGTTTACATCCTACAGAAAGTGTTTACATCCTACAGAAAGTGTTTACATCCTTCAGAAAGTGTTTACATCCTTCAGAAAGTGTTTACATCCTACAGAAAGTGTTTACATCCTACAGAAAGTGTTTACATCCTACAGAAAGTGTTTACATCCTTCAGAAAGTGTTTACATCCTTTGGAAAGTGTTTACACTACGCAATGCTACGAATCTACACAGAGAAGTGACACACTTCAGACGAATGGATCAATGTAATAATGGGGATCTTACGACAAAGATATCTGTATGTGAGCAGGCGCGTAGCAAGCCAATTTTCCCGTGTGAGCCCGATAGGTTGCGAAGCTTTATATTTAGATGGAATTGAGGGCTTGTCCAACCTGAAAACCTGAAGTGTTATCGTTTGACGTTTGATGCTTTCAGTAACATACAATGTTTTTATCTTATCAGTATTTTGAATCTTAAGAAGGAGAACTTAGAGTAGTCTACCATTAATTCAGACAGAATAACAAATAACAAAACATTCACACATGTGTCGATGGAAAAACATTCATCACTGAAAGAAAGACGCCTTTCAGATTGATGATATGAAGAATAACGTGTTTGTTGTACATGGTGACGGTATTGGTAATGCTTTGTTATCAAAGAACATTGTAGTCAATATGATTCATAGAGGGATTACCATTGTTATATTGTTCTGATAACGTGTTTGTTGGTATTTTTGGCAAAAATATTAGAAAACAATATTTTTATCAAAAAACATGTGAAAGACGGGGTATATTTTGTATGGTAGCTTCGCCCCTGGTGAGGTCAGACTCTAAAGTTTACTTGATGTCGTTTACTCACTCCGCAGACCGAGGCGTTGTCCAGATCTCAACGGAGGAGAATATGTTTAGTGGACAGCCGAACAGAAATTCCAACACCTGAAAACGAAATAATCGCCACCTTCACTAATCTTCACAGACGTGAACATCCATATTTTACATCACCCGTAATAAACTCAGGGGCAAAATAAACGCCACCCAATGGCTTTTAACCTGTGTTTTTGCTATCAACACATCTAACAAGCGGTTGATCACTGGATTGTCTGGTCCAGACTCGTTTATTAACATATCGCAGCCATTAAGTTGGAATAATGCTGCGTGCGGCGTAAAACTAAACTCGCGCCACATGCATTACTATTGAGACGAAACAACCTTTTACGCGTTTTATCGAATAAACTAGGGGCGGTGGGGGTAGCCTAGATGTTAAAGCGTTCGCTCGTCTCGCCTAAGACACCGGTTCGATTCTCCACATGGGTTCAGTCTGTGAAGGACATTTCTGGTGTCCACCGTCGTGATATAGGTGAGATTTTACTTAGACCGATGTATAACCGTACTCACACACTCGGATAAACTATATTTATACATCCACACATACAAACCCGTGTGCGAAATCGAGTTAACTCTACTTTTTCTTTAGGGCATCATTAATAAAGACAAAATTATCTGTATAATGTTACAATTTCTTGCGTTCTTTGGACTTGTGGCAGCGACTGTTTAAGAGAGAACCATTTTATATGACGAGACGGTACAGTTTTTTGTTGTTGTTTTTTGAGGATCGGCAATAAAACTAGAAGGGTTGGTCGGGCGATGAGAAACACAGAAAATACAAATGCTGCCCTTATTGCCCTACGTTGACACAAAGAAATGAGAGAAAGTGCGACTGGGATGTTGCAGATGAGTGCAACAGAGTACCATGTTGAACGGATTATTGGAAGTACGAAGTGTACTATTGCCAGACTGGTCATACGCCATCGACTGAATTGCCGAACACCAGACAGGCTCAGGACCGGAATACGAATGGTCATAACCCCGTGATAAGATCATTTCCAGGTGCTTCATCTGGCGTTCAAATTTCTCAGCTACAAACAGGGTGGGGCATTCACTCAGCAGAAGGACATTGTCCAGACGACTCTGACAACAAGTCCTCCGAGAATATCCACTGTTCAAGGACTGTCTCTGGAACATCCAGGTTTAGTTTTAAGACAATATTGGGCATCATGTGGCGAAGGACTGTTTGTCACCGCCATTGCATCATGTGGCGAGAACTGTTCGTCACTGCCAACAGCGATAGTGGCGATGGGTACTCTTCTTGAAAAATACATGGTGGCGTTTCTTTTGAACCTGAGTTTATTCAACCTTTGTCTGCTTTTAAGCCTAACCTATATCCATAATTTTGGTCTATGCTGTATTTCCTTATCCATGTAGGATTTATAACAAATAACGAAAACAGTTTTAGCCCCGAAAACAGTTTTAAACAGTTTCAATGGTTCTCCCAATGTCTATTTGAAAGCCAGGTGAAATCTTTAATGTATATATAGGTACATCCGAAACCAAAGTTTTAGACCATAATATATCTTTCTATTTCCCGTTTAAGGTCCTACATTATCTCTTTCGTCGTATTCGTACAACGATGTGGAACACGTGATGGTGGCACCCGTCCACACTTGACCCCTGGAACACCTCATGACCCCGGTAGTGACGTCACCACAAGGCATGGAGTTGGCGTTGCACGTAAATGTAGCGATGGCGTCGGCGTCGGAGTAGGTCAAGGTCATCAAGCTGTTCTTAGGGACAGGTGGGGCACCGCAATCAAAGGGCGACCACTCTGTACAATGGATAGTGTCTGAATAACTACATTGATTCACGGGGCGGTGGGGTAGCCTAATGGTTAACGCGTTGGCTCGTCACGCCGAAGACCCGGGTTCGAATCCCCACATGGGCACAATGTGTGAAGCCCATTTCTGGTGTCCCCGCCGTGATGTTGCTGGAATATTGCTAAAAGCGGCGTAAAACCAAACTCAGTCAGTCAGTCAGTCACTGATTCACAACATTCAATATGACAGTGACTGGATTATGTAATACTCATTGTTATAAATGGAAACTGACCCATATTACGTCAGTTAAAATGTGGTCATAATGGATCAATAAATAAAGTATGTATAATGATAAATTTTGACTGTGATCCTTGAAAATATATCGTTTTTTTCAATTTGTTGTGTTTTTAGTATTATTCTTACATAAGATCACATAAACATAGATAGACACTATACATCTCTATGGAAACACTATCATGTGCTCGTGATCTAAATATCGCTGAAAAATATGGTGAAACTGAAATATAGTTTGATTCATTTGTTCAGTCAGTCCACTTAAAACACAATGTTTTCTAACACACACAACACGGGGCGATGGGGTAGCCTAGTGGTTAAAGCGTTTGCTCGTCACACCGAAGACCCGGGTTCGATTCCCCATATGGGTGCAATGTGTGAAGCCTATTTCTGGTGTCCCCCGACGTGATATTGATGGGATATTGCTAAAAACGGCGTAATTCAATCACTCACACACAACACACGGCACTCATATCATCACCTGACTCCAATAGACTGACACATATCAGCTCACTTATCAACACCTAACAGACACATTTACTGATACATGTGCCTGACACTTTCCTGCCCCTTTATCAGGCGAAATGATCACTGGATGATACTCGCTGACCAATTCACGACGTTTCTGGGCTACTTTTTGCCCCTTCATTTCGCCTGATAAAGGGGCAAGAAGTAGCCCAGAAACGTCGTGTTGTAAATATTAAAGAAGTTGTAAATCCATACCATACGTTGTTATGCTACCTTCCAGCTTCTAAATACCCAACAAGCATCTGGCATATGCCTGCCATATGCCTACTCACACCATCTATCAAATGATTCATGCTAATAGCCCATTCAGTTCATGTGACAAATGACCACTGACGTTACACATATATCAACACTTGTCAGATGATTAATGCTAATTGGCAAATCAGTTCACCACGCACGTGTATACACATGAAAACAAATATCGCAATACCTATGGTTTTTAACTCCCTTGCAGCCATGCATATTCATATCATGTTATTCCTTGAGGGACAATTTATCCAGAGAGTAAGCTAAATTGGGGTGTGGATAAGTCAATTGCTATCATGGTGTAGTGATATTTCTTCTATGTGTGTATATATCCACTCAGCGAACAAATGTAACTACGTGTATTTCTATAAGTCAAGACAAGATATTGTTCACTTACGTTTAAGGGAAAATCTACTTCCGTAAACTTCCACTTCACAAAACGTCAGTAGATCGGTGAAGTCCTGTCTGGCTTTGGGTGTAATTCTGACGTATCTCCCCAACACCTCCTTGTTACATGCTAGTCTCTGGGTACCTCCATCTGGCATAGCGCCATTGTACATGTGACAGACCTCTTCCTTGTCTGACCTCACTGTGATCTCAAAGTCATGTGACCTAGTAGCTGTAATAACGAAAACCTATGATTGTCTGAGTGAGTGAGGGAGTGAGTGAGTAAAACTGGAATCTGGAAAATTTGGTATTCGAAACCAGGCTCAACCGATCCTGGCACGCTCACGGGACGTAACTCATTCTTATAACAGTATTCTTGGCAAATAAGTTAACCGTGGCAAGGATGCAACCTTGAATTGAATGAAACTGACATTGTTTCCATTTATTTGAAGGCATGTCCACTAAGTGGTTTTGATGTTTGATGTTTTGATGTGCTCTGGTTTTACTTTGTGCCAGATGCTACTCTGATATATAAATATAACATAATATAGCTATGATTACAATAACTACACCGATTTTAAACTGAAAATATAGACCATTATAACTTGTTTCAATTAGAGAATAACAATAACTACAAGGTTGCATATATAGCGCTTAATTCCATACACAGGTATGCTCGGAGAGGATAGGGAGGGTGGAAAGTACATGTCAGAGGACTGACTGAGTTTGGTTTTACGCCGCTTTTAGCAATATTCCAGCAATATCACGGCGGACATGTCAGAGGAACACAGGTGGAACACAAAGTGCTAGTTGAATATGAACGTCTGAGTTGTCGTTTGAATTGGGATTGAAATGGTAAAGTCTTCAACTCAATTGGAAGAGCGTTGTGCCGATACGTTGGAGAATGATCGACATCACAAGGTTTTTAATTTTGTCCGCGCAATGCTTGTTTATTTTAAACGTAGTTTACTGTACATACCACAAACAAGAGAACAGTTGATGGATGTACATGTGATGACGACATTGTTGACGAAACGGTAGACCTGTAAGTCTTCTCCCACCCATATATACTACATTTACTCACAACAAAGACCGGTACAGTTGACGGTTGTGATGACGACACTGTCGACGTAGTAGTAGCCTTGTAAGTCCACCTCCCAGTACACGTTGAAGTCGGCTGCGGTGTGGGACCAGCAGGTGTTGTCGCTCCAGATCGGGGAGGAGTTGCCGTCCACGAGCCAGCCAGGCTGGGAGCCATCTTTGTTCGAGCTGGATGTGGCGGGTTTGTTCAACGCAAGGTTTGTGCTGACTGATTCTGAAAAAGTGAGTGAGTGAGTATGGTTTTACGCCGCTTTTAGCAATATTCCAGCAATATCACGGCGGGGGACACCAGAAATGGGCTTCACTCATTGTGCCCATGTGGGGATTCGAACCCGGGTCTTCGGCGTGACGAGCCGAGATTCTGAAAGATAAATTGTTAGTTAATGTCGTTCATGTAAGTCAATTCGCTCTAATGATTTTAGGGGCGGTGGGGTAGCCTAGTGGTAAAGGGTTCGCTCGAAACGCTGAAGACCCGGGCTCGATTCCCCACATGGGTACATGGTCGCTCCAGATCGGGGAGGAGTCCACGAGCCAGCCAGGCTGTTCGAGCTGGATGTGGTGGGTTTGTTCAAAGCAAGGTTTGTGCCGACTGGTTCTGTTTTAGAGAAAGGTTAAAGCGTTTTATGAACGACTTGACGCATCAAATACCATCAAATACCATGTATGTTGCCATGGTAACCGTTCAGCCTCCCTCCCACCATCCAGTCAAGCGGTTGATCTCATAGTTATTATTAAAAATATTTTACAATATTTAAACCGATTTCTTTTGTATTTTCCAGTGTTCTTTCTCAACGAAGTGTCAGTTAGTGAGTGAGTTCAGTTTTACGCGCACTCAGCAATATTCCGGCGGTACGTAAATAATCAAGCCTGGAATGTGGGGAATCGAACTCGGGTCTTCGGCGTGACGAGCGAACACTTTAACCGCTTAGCTACCCCACCGCCACTCCTTACAAAGACTGACTGACTGAGTTTGGTTTTACGCCGCTTTAAGCAATATTCCAGCAACATCACGGCGGGGGACACCAGAAATGGGCTTCACACAATGTACCCATGTGGGGAAGCGAACTCGGGTCTTCGGCATGACGAGCGAACACTTTAACCGCTAAGTTACCCCACCGCCACTGCTAACAAAGACTGACTGACTGAGTTTGGTTTTACGCCGCTTTTAGCAATATTCCAGCAACATCACGGCAGGGGACACCAGAAATGGGCTTCACACAATGTACCCATGTGGGGAAGTGAACTCGGGTCTTCGGCGTGACGAGCGAACACTTTAACCGCTAAGCTACCCCACCGCCACTGCTAACAAAGACTTGTTGGGAGAGTGTAATAACATTGATACATGCCCACTGCAAATGATACGCGCATAAAACTACTTTAAATTGATACGGACCAGTGAAGATCCGGGTTAGAATTGATCTCCAGTAACCCATGCTTGTCGTAAAAGGCGAGTAACAGAATCGGGTGGTCAGGCTCGCTGATTTGGTTGACACATGTCATCGTATCCCAATTGCACAGATCGATGCTCATGCTGTTGATCTCTGGATTGTCTGGTCCAGACTCGATTATTTACAGATCGCCACCATATAGTTGGAATAGTGCTGAGTGCGGCGTAAAACTAAACTCACTCACTCAATTAAATTGATACAGAGCAGAGTTGAAATTAAAACACGTACCTTTCCGCACATCGCTGTTCATGACGACCGAAACTTTTCTGTTCCTAAATCCGTCCGTCGCCAGAACACCTAGTTCTTGTATTGGATAGTTGTGAGGAAACCTTGTGATAAGCAGGTCGTCAATCTCTACCTGCAACACAAGAATTTAAAAAGTCTTCACCATCCAAAACTCTTTGCAAGTAGATTTGTCCTCGTCTGTGTTTTGTTCCGAAACACCAAGCTCATGAGAATGATGAAAGTAAGGCAGTTGTTCCTTACTCTATATTATGCAAATAAAGCTATAGTTGGTACAATGTATATAGAAGTTATAAAGTCATAACTGTCTGCCCTGCTTAAAGCTAGTGGTTGTAAATGACAGCTGTTATATTTGGGAAATATTCATATAACGTCATAAAACGAATGTGGATGTGGTATAAACCAAACAAATTTATTGTTGTATCTTTACTCTTGCGTAATAACCTATGATTGCGTCATTTATATCTGTTTAAATGCAGAGTGACTCCTTAATTTCTACCTGAAAACTTTGTGGGCAATGATGTATGTATACTAATGTTAAAAATATGAAACGTGTTGCACCGACTATAATATGTGCAACTAAATACTGACATTCTGTTGACAGATGTTCTATGTAGCATGGGCCGATGGCCTACATGTACCCATTGCAAATAAACAAATTGACTCCTACCTGAATCAACTGCCCCACCCTGCCTGCCCCAACAACAATATAATATTGTAATATCTAAGTTAGAAAAGGATATAGTGCCGTGTAGGAGACCCAGGTGCTCTCCCAACCGTCCACTAGGGAGAAGAAGGAGAGAGTGAGGAGCTGGGAGACGGGTGGCGCCGTTTCCCGCCAAAGATGGGAAGGGAGATAACTCTTGGTGAGTAGTGATATTACGTCTGCTTTTTTGAAGGGAGCTTCAAAAAAGGGGATTCAAGTGTTCCACTAAGGTTCGCAAGGAGAAGAAGACAAGCAAAATAGCATGAGTCAGGATAAGGAAAAAATTATATTGTTGATACACAGCAGCGAACAAAAACATTTAAGGAAAGAATTTTTAGTGTGGAGATACACGACATAAGCTAACGTCACCTGAATATAGTCGCTCAACAAGGTGAATACAACATGGTATTCAGTGTCCTTTGTGATTGCTGGGAAATCCATATCAAGTGGTTGCTGTGGTTTACCGTCCTCTTCAAAATAAAGCACCCCGGGTGTGTTCAGATCCAGACTGATACCCATTGCCGTAATCGTTTGCCTTGTTTGCAGAGACACCGTAGGCTTGCTGAAAGACAAAGAGTGCTTTAAATATTTTGCCCCAAAAAAATGATTCAGATTATATACAGTTTGTGATTACTACCGAGGTCAAGGGAGCGGTGGCCTACGTTCGATGGTCAGAACGAAGACCCGGGTTGGATTCCCCATATGGGTAAATTGTGTAAGGCCCATTTCTGGATCGATGCTCATGATATCGATCTCTGGATGGTTGTTGGTTGTACTGTGTGGAATATTATTACACGTTAAATAAACAGTACAAATGCATGAGAATAACACATATCTAGAGGCGACCAACGGCATCGGGAGGTCAGGTTCCTGGCTTCTACCATGCACGTTATCGGATCCCTGTGTTCGACGCTCATGATATTGATCAGTGGATCGTGTGGTCTAAATTCGATTATTCATAGACCGCCTTTATTCAGCTAGAATATTGCTGAGAAGGACGTAAGCAAGAACCAAAACGACACAAAACGTGGACACACTTACGATTGTACCCAGTCAGGTGTTGTCCGAAGATGAAGACTCATACCGAGTTTGAGAGGACACGTGAAGTCATACTTGGTCATCTATAACAAAACAAGAATCTCAGTGGAGGATGTCCCTCAAACGTGCATATGTGATGTTGGTTACTTTTTATATATGTACATGCATTTGGTGGGGTATCATCTCTCGTTAATAGTAAATCAGCGTTAATTCCATTGTAATATACAGAACATATCAAACTATAACAATTAAAGTTTACGTCGGGCATTGAATAATTAATAGACAGATATGTAGCAGAGGGGGAACATCCGTTGTTATGGAACTGACTGAAGCACTAAAAGTGTAAATTTGGGGAAAGAGTGAGTGAGAAGGTTTAGCCACAGTTAGTATGTTTTCATCCATATGGTTGCGGGGGACACCAGCAATGAGCTTCGCAAAATCTATGTGATGCCAAGTTAGGGGCGGTGGGGTAGCTTTGTGGCTACATTGCTCGCTTGTCATAACAAACGCCCGGGTTTGATTACCTAAATGGTTACAATGCGTGAAGACATTTCTGGTGTCTCCCGCAATGACATTGCAGGTGTTTGGTAAACTGGCGTAAAAACGCACTCACTCACTCACTGTATCAGACACACCAGATCTTAATATAAATTTGATTATGAACACCAAAAGACTAATATCCCCCCGCTCGATAAATCCCCCTACTGGCTTCAAATCTGTGTAACCCACCGAGCCAAACGCCATGGGTTCACACGGCTGAGGTTGTCCCCGCCATCCGGAACTGCCGTTACAACGTACGACGTTGTCGCCACTACACATTCCGTAGCCGTCGTCACAGACGTAGGTAGCCACTGCCTCCTCCAGTGTGTGGGATATTTGAACCGCCATGTTCTCCAGCAGAGGGGGGAAGGGGCAGTCTTTAGGGGACCAGGTACTTCTCTCAACTAGTTTGGAGTTAAACGGAAGATGGTCAAAATAAAGTATACTCTTGAAATTGGGTTTGGTAAAATAATATTAACGTTATATCAAAACGTAATTTGTTAGAAAAATAACTGTTATATCGACATCAATGTATTACCATTAGACAACCCTTTCTTGTTCCATTTGTTTTCAGCCACAATTTCGCGTTACGTTAATCCGGGCGAATTTCGCGAACATAAATCGGATTTTACTGAAGTTTCGACGATGAAAAATACTACGAATTAACAGCTGTTTGTTTGTTGTTTAATGCCATACTCAGCAATATTCCAACCATATGCTGGTGGTCTTCAAATGGTCGAGTCTAGAAAAGACAATCCAGTGATCAACATCATGAGCATCGATCTACGCAATTGGGATATGATGACATGTGTCAACCAAGTAAGTGAGCTTGACATTCGATCCCCTTAGTCGCCTCTTACGACAAGCATTTGCATGGGTTGCCGAAGACCAATTCTAACCCGGGTCTTCGCGAGTTACAAAATAACACTGTTTCCCGTTCATGTGTATAATAAACTTGAAATGTTAAAGGGAGGTAATTGTAATGCGTAGACTCAATTTGTTATGTGAAAAGGCAAATGCATAAATGTGCCAAAATGTATGTTCTCCTCGTAAACGAAAGCTGACTTCAGCGCCGGTATGAAGTTTGTATTCATAGCTTGCACTTCCCGTGACAAGAATGTGGTGGGCAAGTCGGAAACTATAATTAACTTTCCCTCTTGACAACCTTTATAATATTATGACAGAAACAACTGAAAACATAATGATAAAAACTGAAACAAAAGAAAAGGACAAAACGTATGAAAACAGTAGTTTCAATATTCTTTGTTGGGAAAGGGTCTTGGCTGAGTAACTGCGAAACTTGTCTACAATTACAGTCCGTTTGAGTCAGAAACGGACCGATGAATTCAAATTTTATCATTGTACAAAATTGCCACATAAATATAAATAGTACACGTTTATCATTTACTAATACCCAACAGCTGTCTTATATTTGAAAATTTTCCGGACTCCACCAAAAAAGTTCTTTAAGAAACTATCATTAAAATTTTGACACAGTTCACTATTTGTGACGAGGGAGGTGTGCAGAGAAAGGGACAGCCAGGTGTTAGAGAAGCACGTGCACAGGTGCCCACCAAGTTATTGATTCATTAGCCTGTGCTGTGCCGTCTCCATCCTTTCTCGCACACCCGGCTGTCCTTTTCTCTGCAGTCCTCGTAACAAATAGTGAACTGTGTCAAAATTTTAATGATAGTTTCTTAAAGAACTTTTTTGGTGGAGTCCGGAAAATTTTCAAATATAAGAAAGCTGTCGGGTATTAGTAAATGATAAACATGTGTACTATTTATATTTATGTGGCAATTTTGTACAATGATAAAATTTCAATTCATCGGTCCGTTTCTGACTCAAACGGTTTGTAGCTGGTTGAGAAATCAGACCGGGAAGTTGGAACGCGGAATGTTAGGTTTACTTGTCCACTGGCAGGTAGGAGAGTTTGGTATGTGAACACTCCTGTTCATAATGAGAGAACACCGCCCTACTCCCTACCTTTTGCTGGAGCTTGCCGCCAGTCTTGATTGAGCCTGACCTTCTTGATGGACAGACTGTCACCATCCACAACGATTCTGTCAATTAGTGGTGCTGGTACGTGGAGGGGGACAGACACAGTCTCCTTGTTAACCAGAATCTGAAAACATATACATTGTGACAGAAGGTCTAGATTCTCACTGACGTAGTCACGTGATGGAGTTTGAGTGAATAGAGCTTAACGCCGCTTTTAGCAGTGTTCCAGCAATATCGGGGGACAATAAAAATAGGTATCACCCATTGCTCCAATGTGGGGAATCGAACCCGTGTCTTCGTCGTGTAGGAAACGCCTTATCCATTAGTATATCCCACCCTAAAATAGGGGTAACGATTGGAACGTGGCTTTCAATGCCATTGCGCTTACATAGTGACGTTCATTGATGAATGTGGTAAACTCAAATGTACGTTTGTTTAACAAGCCTGTTTAGTGCCTGTTTTACAGTGCTTGCATACTAAGATACGGTTCCGCAGTTTAACATTGATTCTCACTTAACTACTGACCTCACTCACTCAGTCAAAAAACAGGCTCCCTCCTACCAATCCATTCTCTCACTCACTCACCTGAAGACTCTTCGGCTTGTAGACCAGGACGATATGTACCACGCTTCGACCCTTGAACGACAGGGGTGATTCTGCGGGTAGAGTGGTAGCATTCCCATCGACTTCATAAGAGTAGGTGATGTAGGAGCCGGACTGTGGCCAGTGAAAGGTCATCCTTAGAGCCGTGTCATTGCCGGACATGAAGGCAACAAACGATCTGGAACGAACACTTAGAGTGTATGTCTTCAGCAAGAAAAACAGAAAACGAGCAACCTGTATCACCCGAATCCACGTTGAAGCGTTGAAGATACACAAAATGCCGTTACATTAATCGGAACTGAAACGTTGACGTTTCATCTCTGGAAGTAAATGTTAACTGCAGTTTAGAATATCTTAATATCTTAGAATTATTTTATGTTGATCAAAACTTAAAGGTTTCAATTTACATTCCTCGAAGCAAAAACGTTACAAGCAAATATATAGGTAGTACCTACCCGCTCTTTTTAGGTTCAACCCACACTTCATGAGCAAATCCCAGTTTAAGTTGGCATGGAATGTCCACTGAGCCAACCTGTGAAAGACGAGCCATACCGAACACACGTGATTTGGAGAGGCATAGGGTCCAATACGTAATGGGCCGGTGGGGTAGCCTAGTGGTTAAAACGTTCGCTCGTCACGCCGAAAACCCGGGTTCGATTCCCTACATGGGTACAATATGTGAAGCACATTTCTGGTGTCCCCCGCCGTGATATAGCTGGAATATTGCTAAAAGCGGCGTAAAACTGAACTCACTCACTCACCAATACGTAATTGTAACTTGAGGCTATTTGTTGTGTTTGAAACACTGTCCTATTACCATCTCTGTATCATTTCCATGACGATTCGGGGTAGAATGTACAGTTAAAATACGGTTGTTAGTTCTCAAAGGAACCCAGGAGTATTCCGGTTGAAAACAAGTTCCTGACCGCCATGTTGGACGTAACAATCGACCTAAGTCGGTATTCCAACCATCTCTACTCCTACCGTCTCATCCGTTCCCGAGTCCACCCTGATGCAGGTCCTGGGTTGACCCTCCCAGCCCTTGTCACTGGTGCAGTAGAGTACGTTGTTGTCGTCACAGCCGCCGAAGTAGCTGTCGTCACAGGAGTACACCGCCACAGCCGCGGTCTGCGAGTAGTGGACATCCACCATGGCCTTGTCCAGCAGGGGGGGGGATTGGGACAGGAGAAGGGGCTCCAGCCGGTCACTGAAAGAGTGAGTGAGTGAGTGAGTGTTAACGCCGCTTTTGGCAATATTCCAGCAATATCACGACAGGTCACTGAAAGAAGCCCGCAGACGTATTGGGAGATGAAAGAACAGGTAGTCTTTTTGTGTCTGAGGATATCCCAGTACAATGGGATTCATATTCACACATCAACGACGTCGGAAAGCACAACAACCCGATCCGGTTATTCGCCTCTTGTGACAAGCATGGATTGCTGGGAATGTCCACAGGCTGGGAATCTCCACAGGCCAGCACGTCTGTGTTAGTCACGGGTAGGGTATGGCACAGATAAACCAAGGATCACAGTTAGGTGAAACAGGGATTCGAACACACGACAAATGAACGTTAACTGTGTGATATTTCAATAATGTGCGGAGTTTGAGGGATATTAATGGATTCCTACCCAAATCGATAACGTGTCAGCATTGCTTTGATATATGGTAAGCTAAGAAGCTAAAAGGAGCGTCCTGAAAAACTAAAACTACTAGGACAGTACTACAATACTGATGTGCAAAAGAAAGTACACACCTGGTGTTTTAAGACTATCAAAACAACGTAAATATTTTGCTAGCAATGTTCCAATTGGGTACGATATGTATGGTGTTATTGCAACACGTACACAATGTTTGTGACTTGTGAGTCGCAATCAAAACACTTTTCTAAATATTACGCTGTTTTCAGGAAAACATTGTACCAACGCATCAGGTGTGTATTTTATTTTGAACGTCAGTTTTATATGGTTATTTATATAGCGCTATAGTCCACCCCATATACATGTGTGCTCAAAGTGCTTAATAAAAACAATGTTACATGTAGTTTGTATTGTAGCAAGTGTCTGTGGATTCACATCCTGTGTATTCACATTTTATAACTCATACAACATAATCTTACTTTATCTGAACTCTGTCTGTAAAACAAGAACACAACTGACCAGTCGTGGCAGAAGACGTTGATGCAGCCGTTGACTGTGTTGACGTGGCTGAAGACGTAGCCGTCGTTGACCGTGTAGACGGTGAAGATGTTGCAGATGAAGGTGTCGACGGAGAGGATGTGAGGGAAGGTGGTGCTGGTGTTGTCGGGGTAGATTCTGGAAAGAAGCTCGGTTCCGGGACCCCGGGGGGTAGGAACCTGGCCTCTGTGAGTCGCACCAGTCCGTATAGAGACAGGGTGAGGACCCCGGAGAATGGGGTCAGAGCAGCGTCATGCTGGGCGGTTTTCTTCCCGTTTACAAACAGCTGAAATAGAAATAAAAGGGTATACTAGTAATTGCTATGTATATGCATGTTTCAGTGAGACCCAAAACCGTTGTTCAAACAAGCATCGACCAATGCATATACTTGAACTTCCATAAATGTTCTTACAATATATTTTTGAAAGTGTACCATTTTTGGTGCGGTGGCAAGGGTTGCCCCTTTTGCCCAAAGGTCGTTTGCTGGGTTGTTTCCCTTTGCTGTGTAAAGATCCGTTGGTCTGGCGCACCAAACCTTGTTCTATGGTTGAATATTAAAAGCAACGTACATCTAAACTGACGGGCAAAAGTTAGTATATGACGTTTTGAACGTCCTGTAACAAAGACATACACCGAAATTTCCCAAAAATATTTAATGCATCATAATAAAAAAACACTTGAGCTGTAAATCACAAAAAATCAACAATTTCATGCAAGGAGTTTGTGAGCCGCTGTCAAGTAAACACGCAAGGGGTGGAATTTTGCATAAATCGATTATCACAATCTGAGTTTATGAGTCAGTAGCAGGGGCATTCCTTGAATACAGGATCTTGTGCACATCAGTATCGTGTGTGACCCCCTGCTGCGTCAATGCATGCCCTCACACGTCTCCTCATTGACGTCGTCAAACGTCGAATGACGTCATTGGGAATGCGGTTCCATTCCTCTCTGAGTGCTTGCTCTAGCTGTTGCCTGTTCTGTGGAACTTGTTGCCGACCTCTGATCTTCCTGTCCAGATGATCCCAGAGGTGCTCGATCGGGTTCATATCCGGTGAGCACGCTGGCCAGGGCAGGACGTCAACATTGTTCTGTTGCAGAAAGTAGCGAGTCTCTCTGGCAGTGTGAGATCTCGCGTTGTCATGTTGTAGGAGTACACCCCGGGGTTGATTCTGTAGGAAGGGTACCACAACTGGCTGTAGGATCTGTCCGATGTACCCCCGTGCATTGAGATTGCCCTGCACTACAACCAGACGGGTCTTCTGGTCTCCACAGATACCGCCCCAAACCATGACTCCACCCCGCCGAATGGATGAACTTCTCTGATGCATGGCCTTGCTAAACGTTCCCCTCGTCGACGATATACCCGTTCTTTGCCATCACACTTGTAAAGGGTGAAACGGCTTTCATCGGAAAAGAGAACACGTCGCCAATCTCGGACTTGCCACCTGTATACTTGCCTTGCCCACCGCTGTCTGTTTTGGCGATGTCTGAGGGTCAGGACCATTCCGCGGAAAGGCCGGTAAGCCCTTATACCAGCTAATCTCAATCTTCGGGTCACTGTGCGACGACTGATACGATGCCCGAGTGCCGTAGCCGCCGTCGACGTTGCCGTCACGAACCTGTTCCGGAGATGGATAGTCCGGATGTAGCGGTCTTCTATGGGTGTAGTGACCCGTGGCCGTCCACTTCTCGGCCTGTCTTGAGTGCTACCAGTATTCCGGTAACGTGTGAACAGCCTGGAGATTGTTGCTGGGGTACAGCCGAACGTTCTGGCAAGATGAGCTTGGGTAGCTCCCATATCGCGCATTCCCAATGGCTCGCTCTCGCTGAATTTGTGTCAGCTTCGGCATTTTTGCATGTGCTTTCAGTTACTGTGATATGCCAGCGTGTATCCATCCCATTTCTACCCGACTGGTGCACGTGCATGTTCGTGATTTTCAAAGATTACATGTTATACCTTTTTCTCGTGCTAGGGGTCACGTGACTACATCTACTGACATCACTACCATTCTGCAATATTCTCGTGACTTTGACAATGTTTGCTTTGGATGTTTCATTGGAATTTAGACATGCTCAATTTCCCCAAACCAAATTGAAAACGTTATACTAACTTTTGCCCGTCAGTTTAAGTTACTGGGACATTGTTCAGATAGGCTTTCATTCAGTCGTTTTTGTTTCCATGCATCCAGTGCTCTCACAGCAATAAGAGAAGCTGTTCATCCATATATTGTTATCCTTCCTTAAATACTTAAACAATTCATTTGTAAAAATCTCGATCCGCCTCTGAACATTAATGCACAGTGTTCGGTATTTACAAGCGTTCGTCATAGTATCACTAGCCCCCAACACAGACGAAAACGTTGAATTTCCGCTCAATTCTCCTACACACATTCGTCCATGTCAATATCATACCCTTGGACAATACGGTCCTCACAGGGGCGAGAAAAGCGGGGGAGATCTATCGAATGAAGACGATCAATCAGATGTTAACATAGAGACAGTTGGGAACACACACATATTAACGCTGCCCCTGATACAATGGACGCGTGTCTAATTAAAAACAGGTGCCCGGTACAGATTGATAATACCTCCATTGTCACAGCATGTGTTGTCCTGATATCAGTCTATTAACGTAGGCTGAAGCTAGATTTGTAATCTATACAAGCTTATGTTATATATTTACTGTTACTGTCTTGTAATGCTGGTTCAGTTATTGAACTGTAGCAATATTGTACTTCATCAATTAACAGGGGCACATTAGTGGTTAACACTTTGTATAAACACGTCTTCTACTAATCCTGGAAAAGAACATCCAAAAATGACTATGAGACATTGACTACCATATACATGTATGAGAGAGAGAGAGAGAGAGAGAGAGAGAGAGAGAGAGAGAGAGAGAGAGAGAGAGAGAGAGAGAGAGAGAGAGAGAGAGAGAGAGAGAGAGAGAGAGAGAGATGTGTTCTGGAGTTTTTCGGTCATATAGTCGTTCGTTGGAACCTAGGGTCTGAACTGGAATGGGTTGATATGAATGTGGATGTGAAAATAATCAAAGTTAAGCTTCTTTTGACTGAATAACCCGCACAGTCAGAGGCATGCTATTGTTAATTAATTTCTTTCTAGAGAATGTACATTGTATATAGTACATTGAAAGTAACCAACATTTGAGCTATACATACACCTTATCTAAAAAAATGTGTTGACGGTACAAATCATTTATACAAGGGCAGGTTTAACACCCACACTTTAATTTCGAACTATATTGTCTTCTAAACGAATGAAGTGTTACCAAAACATCTCCAAATACGTACTTCATATTTACCCCCATGAAGAGTAATCCTCCAGCTGGTCTGGGAGGAGGTGATAGGTGCAGCCAGAGAATAAACTCTGGTATTGGCATCTATGGTGCGCTTTGCTATGGAAACGATGAATTTGAAGAGTTCAGATCCATCCTCTCTCAAAGTGATGCCGAAACTGTCAACAGGAAACAGTCCTGACCAATGTTGCTTGAAAGTGAGTGAGTGCAAGGGTGAGTGAGTGAATGAGAGGGTGAATGATCGAGTGAGTGAGTGAGAGGGTGGGTGTATGAATGAGCTTTTACGCCCTTTTCAGCAATATTCCAGCTTAACCACGGCTGAGGACACCAGAAATGAACTTCAAACATTGTAGCCATGTGGGGATTCGAACCCCGAGTGACGAGCGAACGCTTTAAGCATTGCTTTATCTCCTCCCATGAGTGAGTGAGTGAGTTTGGTTTTACGCCGCTTTTAGCAATATTCCAGCAATATCACGGCGGGGACACCAGAAATGAGCTTCACACATTGTACCCAGCACACTGTATGACCACTTACTCGTTTTGTGTGTTCAGTAATAGCAATATCGAGCTGTTAGCGACAGGGGGACAATCCAATGTCAGTAGGTATCGACCGACGCTCTGCAAAAACAGTACATTAGTACAACAGTAAGAGTATCACACCACTTTTCACATAATTATCATGTTAAGCCCTTACAACAATCCCTTTCTGTTCCTAACAATATCACCAACAGTCTTGCCATGACGCCGATCAATATCAATGTGTTCCAGTAGAACACTGACGGTAGAACACCTAATCATCAGACCCGTGAAGGTCCGGGTATGAATGAACCTTCAGTAACCCATGCCTGTCTGTGTATAAGAGGCGACTAACGGGATCGGGTGGTCAGGCTCGCTGACTTGGTTGAAACATATCATCGGTTCCCAATTGCGCAGGTCGATGCTCATACTTTTGATCACTGGATTGTCTGGTCCAGACTCGATTATTTACAGACCGCCGCCATATAGCTGGGATATTGCTGAGTGCGGGGTTAAACTAAACTCACTCACTCCTACTGATCATGTACAGGGCTCAACTGAAGGTGGTAACGGTTGTGGCTGCAGGTGGCCCCGTCGTTAGTGGAGTCGCAATTCTCTGGGTGGATTATGTGTCGGGGTTGCCAGCACCAGACCACTTCTTATGGTTTCATCCGAGACCTGGGCCTCTATTCTCGAAAAGTATCCTAGCGCTAGGATATCCTATTTGGGACATATACCGGGATAGGTTCTGACATGTCCTAAATAAATCCTAGACGAAAACAACATGGCGTCGTACTTGTTTGTTCATTCAATTTTTGGGAGTAAGATTGTCAATAAGAAGAATGCCTAACGGGTCTACTATAACAGGACTGCATCCCTCGATGTATTCGACGATGTGGAGTTAGTGAATCGATACCGTCTGTCAAGGCGAGCGATTCAGGAGGTAACAGCGCAGTGTCGGGCCGAGCTGCAGCTCTATCTCACCGACTGAAGAGCTCGCTATCCTAGCTAAGATCCGTAGCTCAAGTTAGGACAGAGATAAGGGTCTGATCCTAACGTTAGGACTGACTGACAGTTTGGTTTTACGCCGCTTTTAGCAATATTCCAGCAACATCACGGCGGGGGACACAAGAAATGGGCTTCACACATTGTACCCATGTGGGGATTCGAACCAGGGTCTTCGGCGTGACGAGCCAACGCTTTAACCATTAGGCTACCCCACCGCCCCCTTAACGTTAGGATGTCCTATCTCCTGTCCTAACTACTTAGGATCCGTCTTAGCTGGGACACTTTCGAGAATAGGGGCCCTGCATTACTAATCTCCGGGCTTTCCTCCCACGTGAAGTGTGCAGTCAAAGGAATGCTATTGAAAGCCGCGTTTAACTAATTAAATCAGGCCACTCGGTCACTCATTGCTTGAGACGTCGGGAATCGAACCCGGGTCTTTGGCATGACGAGCAAATCCTGTAACCACTGAGCTACCCTAGTGTCTGAGCTTAAAAAATTCCAATGTGGTGCGTTAACTCCAATTCAGTCAGTCATAGATCACTCACTCGGAGAAACAAAGAAGAGGTGAGGTGAGGTGAAATTGGGTTTTACGTCGTGCTTGAGAATATTTCGCTCATATGACGACGTGCAGGCGTGTGTATGTGTATGTGCGGCTGCTTGTACTAGCCCAGACTTAAGCTGGTTTTATAGTGCTAGCTCACTGAGATACCATGCCGCAGTGAAGCATGAATACCCCACTCAGACACAGTATACTGACTCCGAGCCGACCAGTCCTTGTTGTACCCAGTAATACCGAGAGCCAGGCAGGGACCAACAAGTACCATATTTTCACGTCTTTTGGTATGACGCGGTCGGGGATCGAACCCGCGACCTTCCGCTCTCCGGGCGGGCGCTCTAACCACTACACCAAGGAGGCGGTAGAAACAAAGAAGAAGAAGAAGAAGGGATATGGTTGTAATGAGAAAATACCTCATCTTCTCGAATCTTCCACACCATACGTCCACACTTCCCAGGAGGCGCGGTCCAGATGTCGTTGTTCCTGCATCTGCTGACGTCGTTACCGTCACAGATGCCGTAGTGTTCACTGAGACAAGTGTACCTGGCTACTGCCTCCTGACCCTCGTACGTCAACTGAAAAAGTACTTTAATGAATTTTGTGCTCAGAATTGTTTAAATGGGAGGCAAAAATGAAATATGGAAGAAACCTGTTGCGTCGATCATCGATGTGTCAAACTTGCGATAATCTAAGATAATCAATCTATTGTGCATAGTTGTGGCGCAGAGCTATGACAGTATGCCCTAGACATGGATTCGAATCTTTTTTCTGCTACGGTCGAGCATTTTGCCAAATTGATCACGTCCAGCCATGAGTTTAATTCCTTACTTCATGATATAACTTAACACTGTTGAAAATAGCAATACACCTAATTTGTTCATTCAAAGAAGGCATCTTCCGTGCTCAAATGATAAAGTTCCTGCCCGAAGACTGAAAGGACTGTGGTTTGATTCCCTAATGCGGGATACCGAAAGACGTAAAACATGGTACTGGTCGTTACCCTGCCTGATGCACAACACTAAAGGGGTATAAAGGGGCTGGTTGGTTCAGAAAACTATACTGTTTCCAAGTGAGGTGTTAAGGTATCTTAATAAACGAAGTTAAATATACTACACCCGAGTCACTGTTCCGTCAGGCGTCGGAGGAGCGATACAGTCAAAGGGACTCCGAACTGAAATAGTCAAAACAACCAAATTATATATACATCATTGGTACATGGAAGACTTTATTTGATTTGGATTCTACGTTGCACTCAGAAATGCAGCAGCCGTGTAAATGATCAATACGTTCAACAGACAAGCAACAATGTGTGTAATATAGGTTCCTGTCCACAACCAAAATTGTATCCATTTTGAAAACACGAAAATTGCATTAAGTCTAGCAACTAATTCCTGATTTCATATGGAGATATTGCTTGTTGGAAATGGAGTCGCAGATACTAAAAACATGAGGGACAACTATTAGTCTACTGGGCAGTGAAACTTTGGTCTCTGGAAATGAATATTTTACGTCGGAAAATCGAAAGCTGGTGATATATGACGTTGACGTTGGATATTAAACTGAGTTCTACAACGAAACCACATGCATTTACCGAAAGGCGTTATCTACCCTGGGAATCTGCAAAAGTGGAGCACATTCGAGAAGTCCTTACCGGCAGGTTTCATCTGCCGCATCAAGGTGTGGGTGATGGAGGTTAGGTTGTCCAGTCTCTGAAACAGCGGTGTCATGTCATCCTGACATGAGCACATGGGAGGGCGTGTTGAATACAACACCGTGGTGGTTGATGTGGACGTGGTGGTAGATTTGGGTGTGGAAGTCGTTGAAGGTCGTGATGTAGTTGTAGTAGTTGCCGTCGTCGCTGAGTAGTTATTATTGTAGTTGTTGCCGTCGTAGTTGCTGTTGTTGGTACTGCTATAGAAGCTGTTGGAAGAAGATAACTGCTACTGAAGGTTGACGGTAAAGCTCTTTAAACCACGGACTGAGTTTGGTTTTACGCCGCTTTTAGCAATATTCCAGCAACATCACGGCGGGGGACACCAGAAATGGGCTTCACACATTGTACCCATGTGGGGATTCGAACCCGGGTCTTTGGCGTGACGAGCCAACGCTTTAACCCTTAGGCTACCCCACCGCCCCTCTTTATACCAAGGGGCGGTGGGGTAGTCTGGGGATTAAAGCGTTCGCTCGCCACGCCAAAAACCCATTTCGATTCCCCACATGGGTAAAACGTGTAAGGCTTATTTCTGGTGTCCCCCCGCCGTGATTGTGCTGGAATAATACTAAAACCTCACTCACTTTCTCTCTCTTTAAACCAAAGGAAATACAGTGGAAGCACTGAAGAACAGTTTTACCAGATATAAATTACGCAAAGATGTATTGTTTAACACATTTAATGTTATTATATATGTATCGTGTATAATCCGTTTGGCTCAGAATCGAACCGATGAATTGCAATCCAACTCGAAAACTACTAAACATATAGTACTAGACGAAACACTGATCATAATCAAAACATCAGACCAACTCTGTGATCTTTTTGCAGAATTGATGTCCTAAAAATCAAAAAGTTGTTTAACAAACTATCACAAAAATCTTGACACAGCTCACTATTTGTTACGAGGGAGGGCTGCAAAGAGAGGAACAGCTAGGTGTCCAAGAAAGGATGGAGACAGCACAGGTAAATGATTCAATAACTTTGTCGGCACGTGCTCCGCGTACACCTGGCTGTTCATCTCTTTGCAGCCCTCCCTCGTAACAAAATAGTGAACTTTGTCAAAGTTTTAATGATAGTTTGTTGAACAACTTGTTTTATTTTTAGGACATCAATTCTACAATAATATCACAGAGTTGGTCTGATGTTTTGATTATGATCAGTGTTTCATTGAGTCTTATATGTTCAGTAGTTTTCGAGTTAGATTTCAATTTATCGGTCCGATGAGCCAAACGGATTATAGGTGCGATCACTTTCAGTTTCATTTTGGTATTGAATGTTTTTTTTCAAGCTGCACTCAGCACTTTTCCATTTCTATGGCAGCGGTCTGTACATAATCGATCTTCATGGGTTTGTGGCTGTTTTAGCCTGTCGTATTGAGAGAATCTTGTAAAATTCAGCAAATGCTTTATCTTACATTGGCAGAAACCAAGACTTGGTTTGAGTAGTTACGTCTCACACTCAGCACTAAATACTCTGACGCTGTGTTGCATATATGCTTTTTGAAAGTCAATGACTGATTACTATTAGCTGATGATGCAGCTTTAGCAGTATTCACTCACTGCCCCAATTCATACAAAAATATTGTCAATACATGCATACTTTCCTCAACGTCCAGCACACAGTCTCTGATTTCGGGATGGAATATATATCCCTTGGGACATTCTTGAATCTCCACCGTCCTCTCCCCTCTACAGAACAGATGGTAGCGCGTGCGGGGGATGCCGGGATACGGTATTTCCCCATCCGGTTGTCCAACACAGGAAGCGGAACACGCCATGCAGTGCTCTCGACCCAGACACCGCCCTATCCGGTACTCACCTGGACAGATCAGTTTGACATTAAGGATCGCAAAATACAGTTAAAATAGTCATTATTAAAGACGGCAAAGATGGTTCAGGTGATTGTGGCACAGTCACAGGCTGGTTCGGCTCTTGTAACGCTGGTTCGATCATACACATTATACTGACTCCAAGCTGACCAGTCCTTGTTGTACCCATTAATGCCGAGCGCCAGGCAGGGACAAACAAGTACCTTATTTAAACGTCTTTTGGTATGACGCGTCCGGGGATCGAACCCGCAACCTTCCGCTCTCCACTACAGCGCGGAGGCGGTGTTCGAGACTAGATGATCGAAGGGCATGAAACAGTATCCTTCGTCTGACGTCAGGATATTTTCATGGTAGGTACAAATTCGGAATGACATGGAAATAAACAAATGATTGACTCAAAATAATAAGTATTCTATTATAAACGTTTTATGGAGAGGTGATGGTTATTTTAACACACGGGTCCAACAAACACACAAAAATAGTAAAGTTCTTTACTTTTGCCGGAGTCTTCCTTTCCATAAAATGCGCTACAACCGGAAGTGACGTCAGTTCATCTTTCATAGAAAACCATTGGAGATCCAAACTGATAACGTGGGTTGGTTTGCAACCCGATAGGTGTCAGGTTGCAGCGATTGAACGGATAGTGTCATCTTTAAATCATCTTATAAGCACATTTCGCACATACTAGCTTAATACTGTTGTGTTTATTTTACATTGATGTTAAGCATTGTCTTTCTATCCAATTTTGCAAACGTTTGGCATGTACTTACACGGTGATTTCGGCTCAAACTTGTTACCGCACGGTGTTTTGATCATGTCGAACAGCCGACAGGTGGCGCTGCTCTCGTCATACAGATACATATACTGGCATTCCGACTGGTAGGGCTTCAGCCCGAAGTGGTGGTACCGTGTACTGCAGTCGTAATACCGAGCACAGTTCCTCGGGTCGGCGAACTTGGCCGAGGGGTTCATCCGGCAGTAGATGATGATTGATCCTATAATTAAAGATTGACCAAAGTATTATTAATACATAGTACAGCCTTGTACAGGAATACGCGATCATACAAGCAGTAGCCATGTTTAATGTCTGGTGTATATATAGTCCGTTCGACTTCATTTGAGATCCATGAATTGCTCACAAGCACAAAATCTAATAAATGTAACAAAATCAAATTTTGCACAGTCACATGAAATCACAGTCACAGACGAACTCTGATGATTTCTCTCATAATTTTGGACACCCGAATAAAAAAGTTCTTTAACTAACGATCATTATTTTGTTGTCACTTTTCGCTATTTCTTACGAGGGGGGACCACTTGCTGGTACAACAGCCAGGTAATCAACAAGCGTGTGCAGCGAAATGTCAATTTCATACGAACAGCTGGCACACCCGGCTGTTCTACCAGCAAGTGGTCCTCCCTCGTAAGAAACAGCGGAAATGAAGTCAAACGGAAACTGAGTTTTTAAAGTGGTGTTTGTTCACAACCGGGACGATTTCCAACATAAGCACAATACATGTATATGGTGTCTATGCTATTATAGCCGTGAAATGACTGGACAATTGTTAGAAGTGTTAAGTGTTCCCCTTGAGAATCAAGTTTCTACCGAAAACTTTAAATGTTTAATTTAGTTCAAAAATTGTTTTCTTCCATAAAAGATAACTGCCAGTATTACGATTGTATTAGATTGATTTCCTGGCTAGAGTATCTACAGACCGCCGCCATATAGCTGGAATATTGCCGAGTGCGGCGTTAAACAACAAACCGACCAACCAGCAGACTGTTTGATGTCAAAATCTATAGAATGAATATTGTAAAATTCGTGACAGTCTTCTAGCAGAAAAGGGCAGATATCACAACATCCCAAGATATGAACGATTATGCCCATTGTGTATAACCCATAAGTTATGAATGAATTCCAGTTTTGCATAGTGTGTCCATTTCATTAAAATGTGCTCCAATTTTATTGCACAATATTGTTGTTACATGTTCCTACCTCTTGGCAAAACGTTTTTATTATTAAATATAAACCTGAAGGCTGCTTCTCACTATATATTAGACATGGCTTCTTTTCCCGGAATTACCGCATTTGATGTTTTTGTTTGCTCCCAGGTTTTACTTTTCGTAAGTAAGACCTATTTCCCGGTTTAACTTTTTGTAAGTAAGACTTCCCAGGTTTTACTTTTTCCCAACTCTATATTAACATTCAAATGCAGGTGATATGTTAGTGTTTGAAATCAATTGAAATATTTCGTCAAAGATGTGCAAATGTTTTCCCTAGCAGGATTGGAACCGTATATTTCAGATTCATAAGCGGACGCTCTACCTCACAGCCACCGGGCATCTAATAAAGCTGAATATCGCCGATGTTCAAAAGAATATAAGAAATGTCTGAATAAACATATAAACAAGTATAAAAATGAATTCTCTCACTGGGTCAGAAAAAAACAAAAGCATTCCCCTAAAGAATTCTGGAAAATACTAACAAAAAGTAACAAATATGATAATTCTGAAATACCAGACATAAAAGAAAGAATTTTTTGAACATTTCAAGCATATCAACAGTAAACAGACTACTCCTGATTTTGAAATAGATCAAAAATTTAAAGATTATGATGATCACATATTAAATGATGATATTACCTTGATAGAAGTGACACATGCTATCAAAAAGCTAAAACGAAATAAATCTTCTGGTATTGATGGCATTGAAAATGACTATCATTATTGATTCCTCTGATCTACTTGGTCCTTCGTTTGTTGATTATTTCAATTTGATATTCTCCACAGGAATAATGCCTGAAGCATGGTTGACTGGCACTATCAGACCTATATACAAAGGTAAAGGCCACAAATCAGACCCCAATGCCTATAGACCAATCACTATTTTAAGCTGCTTTGGAAAGCTTTTCACTAGTATATTGAACAACAGACTGAACATTTTCTTGGAAACAAACAATATTTTAACCCCTGGGCAGGCAGGTTTTAGGAAAGAACATTCCATAAACGACAACATATTTGTTTTGAACATGCTTACTCAGATTTTAAAGACCTGTAAAAGAAAGTTATATTGTGCGTTCATTGATTGTTCTAAAGCTTTTGATAATGTATGGAGGATTGGACTCTGGCATAAAATAGTTAACAATGGAATTACGGGTAAATTGTTTACGCTTATACAAAACATGTATGCAAATATCAAATCTTGTGTATGTTCAAATGATAAGTTCTCAGATTATTTTCAATGTTATTCGGGCGTCCGCCAAGGGGAGAATCTTTCACCTCTTTTATTTTGTTTATTCATTAATGATTTAGAACAATTTCTCATCGATGACAGTTGTAAAAGTGTTATGCTCGAGAATGTAAACATACAGTTATGTTTATCATTTATTGTACTTCTTTATGCCGACGACACTGTCCTGTTTGCTGATTCCGCATCCGAACTACAGAGTACCTTAGATTCTTTTAGCAAATACTGTAAAATTTGGAAATTAGAAGTGAATTTTGATAAAACGAAAGTCTTAATTTTTTGGAAGTGACCCTGCTAATAATAGTAAACTTAATTTTGTCTTTGAACAATCTCAAATTGAAATTGTAGATAACTATACTTATCTTGGAGTGACATTTAGTAGAAAAAGGAAATTTAATCTATCAATCAATAACCTTGCAATGTTTTGGGGTTTTTTTAAATCTAGAAATCATAATATCCCGTTGGACTGTTTACTTAAGGCATTTGATGTTATGATAGCCCCAATTCTTTTGTATGGCTGCGAAACTTGGGCATATGAAAATTTAAATATAATTGAAAAAAAACCATTAAAGTTTTTAAATTGGCTAGCGGTTTACGAAATTCTACCCCTACTTTTATGGTATATGGAGAACTCGGAAGATTTCCTTTATATATCACTGCAGCTAAGCGTATTATTTGTTACTGGCATAAACTTAATAATCCTGGAATGCAGCAGAAATGATCAAAACTGATCAACATTATGCATATGCACAAAGTATCTTTGAGAATGATTTTGATCCCTGGATGCATCATGTTAAATCTTTATTAGATAAATGTGGCTTATCTTTTGTATTCTATAACCCTGTAAGCGTACCATGCCAATGGCTAGTTTCACAAGTGGAGACTGTATTAAAAAGACCAGTTCCAACAAAGTTGGAAAGCTGTCTTCTCTTCCCAGCTTATATTTACTCTCCTATTTTGAAATACAGAACCTGTAATCACAATCTCCCGGTAGAAACTGGTCGTTGGCATGGTATCGCTAGAAAAAACAGAACATGTAAACTTTGCAATTCACCAGCAATAGGCGACGAATTTCATTACTTATTTAAATGTGAAGCCCTTACACATATTAAATTAAAATATTTACCAACTAGACATAGGTACTTCCCCAATTTATCAACATTGAAGAAAATATTTAATAGTAGAAATCTATCCAAATATCTGCTAGTATTAGATAAACTCTTTGTCAAAAAATGGTTAAACCTCAACCAGCTCTTTCTATAGACAACAAATCACTTAACAGATCTTAATTTATGGCATTATTATGTTTCATTTTAAACTGTTCTACCTGTCATTTTGTCATGTTTATTTATATGTATTTAAATGGATTATGTTTGATTTTCTCTTGTACCACCAAACGTGGTTATTTGAGAATAAACTGAACTTGAACTTGACAATGAGTGAGGGTTGAATTATGTATTTATAGTTGGGCATACTGTCATTCAATTGATTTTACTAGCGCTTCAGTTACTGTTATGTAGCTTCATTACATGATCATCTAATTATCCATCATTGACGGTTTATATGTATAATAAAGGACTCCTCCACAGTTATGGTTGGGAAAGTAAGCCCTCGACCATCGGGTGGAGAGAAGTAAGAGTAGCGCTCTCGGTCTTACTTCTCCCCACCCTCCGGTCTCGGGTCTTACTTTCCCAACCATAACCTCGGAGTCGTGCTTTATCCTACACGTAACAAACTTAATGTCTGTAATAAACTTTCTAAATACTATATTTCTCGATGTGAAAAACCTGTTGTTTAGTAACATCGTGTATAGATGGTATTGTTTGCCTATACCATATACAGCTAATGCAGGATTTAGTTATGTGGACCTCCGCATTCCGTCCAACATTCATTATCACACTCTGTATCTGTATATTGGGCCGGTAGCCCCTGTCCAGGAATAAAAACTTCTATTTCTAAACGGTCTCGATACTTGCCGGGGCGGTGGGGTAGCCTAGTGGTTAAAGCGTTCGCTCGTCAAGCCGAAGACCCGGGTTCGATTCCCCACATGGGTACAGTGTGTGAAGTACATTTTTGGTGTCCCCCGCAATGATATTGCTGGAATATTGCTAAAAGCGACGTAAAACCAAAACTCACTCACTCACAATACTTGCCATTGTAATAGTCACGTTAAAACGTTGTTTTCCATTTTACAGAGACACATGTAGACTGTAGATGGTAAAAACATAAATCACTGAAATATGGAATTATTGTGTTTACTGTGTTTACTCAACGTATTTTAGATACGGACAAACTTTATGGATGAACGTCCAAGTTTGCCCTTCACTGATTCACCAGCTTCTAAATATGCCACTCAAAGAAGTCAACATATTTTAGTTAGTTTCTTAATTAAAAACCCCTTCAAAAGTGTCATTACTATTATACGATTAATCGATCTACAATTGCGTGTAATTTTACTCCTTGAACTTTCAGAAGAAAGAAAACTTAACTACATTTAATTATCATGTATACTTGGGATCTTGCCCAAGGCAAATTCGTGTTGTTATGTGGAACATGGTGACGTTGCCTCGCAGATCGTGTTAGCAACATCAACAAGTCTAACTGGACTGAGTTCAGGAACCATTAAACACCGCTCAAGACAGGCTCAAGACAGGTGTCAGGGTAAATGTGTGCACTAAACAAAGACAATTACAACAAATATGACATTTACAAAAAAGAACTAAAAGCGTGACTGGACGATGTGTATCCGTTTAAATTATGTTTTAAGAAGTTTACTCTCAGCCTTCTGACAAAGTGTCGCTTTAATATTTCATAAATGACAAGCTTCATCTAAAATGTCGCTGACGGTGTAACTTCCTTATTCCATCTCAATCCAAATGGCTTATCTCAGTGTATGGATGTACAAATGTAAATAGTGAAAATCGTAGAAATACTAAAATATACTCATGCCATTAATGGTTGTCACCCCCTTCAAAAAAAATTATTGGAGAGGGATGGGGTAGGGGTTGGGTAGGGGGTGGGGTTGGGTAGGGGGTGGGGGTGGGGAAGGGGTGACAACCATTATTGGCATGAGTATATAATCAAATACCAAACACGGTTTAGGATACCCCCTACTATTGAAGCATAAAGCTTGATCTACCTTGTATCTTAGTTAATGAGTTTAGTTTAGTCAGCAATATTCCAGCTATATAGCGGTGGTCTGCAAATAATCGTGTCTAGACCAGATACGACTTTTTCTATTAGAAATATTTTGCAGGGATACCTCAAATAATCTCACAGATTGATTTTGGAAAGGGAATCTCAATGCTGTGATATCATGAGGATGGTCCTTACAGGAGTCAAAACATACTCACTTTAGTTCATGTCAATTTACTTACTGTGATAATTGGATGTGCATGTTTTGTCTACTGGGTCGAAGACCTCCTCTGAGACTGTGCACATTAAGTGCGATACTATTTTCCCTGCTTTACAAAGTATGTGTTCGGGGGAGTAGATGGTTCCGGGTTTAGGAGCGTAGCCATCTTGATCACACTGGCTGGACACAGAGAGGCACTCCGTCTTGTAGTCACCTAGAAACGGAACGGGAGCAATGACAAGTATAGACTAACGCTATGTGTCTCCAAACATATATCGACTTATTAGAAACGAATAACGAGATCCAGTGAGGTCGGAGATCCAGAATTAGGGGAGAGTTAGGTAAGTGTGTGTTACTTTGATGCTTTTTATACGTTGTAGGTGGGGATTGTTGCTACTTACACTTTGTGGGTGGGGATTGTTGCTACTTACACTTTGTGGGTGAGGATTGTTGCTACTTACACTTTGTAGGTGAGGATTGTTGCTTCTTACACTTTGTGGGTCACACTTTGTGGGTGAGGATTGTTGCTACTTGCACACTTTGTGGGTGAGGATTGTTGCTACTTACACTTTGTGGGTGAGGATTGTTGCTTCTTACACTTTGTGGGTGGGGATTGTTGCTTCTTACACTTTGTGGGTGAGGATTGTTGCTTCTTACACTTTGTGGGTGAGGATTGTTGCTACTTACACTTACACTTTGTGGGTGAGGATTGTTGCTACTTACACTTTGTGGGTGAGGATTGTTGCTTCTTACACTTTGTGGGTGAGGATTGTTGCTTCTTACACTTTGTGGGTGTGGATTGTTGCTTCTTACACTTTGTGGGTGAGGATTGTTGCTTACTTACACTTTGTGGGTGAGGATTGTTGCTTCTTACACTTTGTGGGTGGGGATTGTTGCTACTTACACTTTGTGGGTGAGGATTGTTGCTTCTTACACTTTGTGGGTGAGGATTGTTGCTACTTACACTTTGTGGGTGAGGATTGTTGCTACTTACACTTTGTGGGTGAGGATTGTTGCTTCTTACACTTTGTGGGTGAGGATTGTTGCTACTTACACTTTGTGGGTGAGGATTGTTGCTTCTTACACTTTGTGGGTGAGGATTGTTGCTTCTTACACTTTGTGGGTGAGGATTGTTGCTTCTTACACTTTGTGGGTGATTGGATTGTTGTTATTTCTTACACTTTTGGGTGGGGATTGTTGCTGCTTACACTTTGTGGGGTGAGGATTGTTGCTACTTACACTTTGTGGGTGAGGATTGTTGCTTCTTACACTTTGTGGGTGGGGATTGTTGCTACTTACACTTTGTGGGTGAGGATTGTTGCTTCTTACACTTTGTGGGTGAGGATTGTTGCTACTTACACTTTGTGGGTGAGGATTGTTGCTTACACTTTGTTACACTTTGTGGGTGAGGATTGTTGCTACTTACACTTACACTTTGTGGGTGAGGATTGTTGCTTCTTACACTTTGTGGGTGGGGATTGTTGCTTCTTACACTTTGTGGGTGAGATTGTTGCTTTCTTACACTTTGTGGGTGAGGATTGTTGCTACTTACACTTTGTGGGTGAGGATTGTTGCTTCTTACACTTTGTGGGTGAGGATTGTTGCTTCTTACACTTTGTGGGTGAGGATTGTTGCTACTTACACTTTGTGGGTGAGGATTGTTGCTTCTTACACTTTGTGGGTGAGGATTGTTGCTACTTACACTTTGTGGGTGAGGATTGTTGCTTCTTACACTTTGTGGGTGAGGATTGTTGCTACTTACACTTTGTGGGTGAGGATTGTTGCTACTTACACTTTGTGGGTGGGGATTGTTGCTACTTACACTTTGTGGGTGAGGATTGTTGCTTCTTACACTTTGTGGGTGAGGATTGTTGCTACTTACACTTTGTGGGTGAGGATTGTTGCTACTTACACTTTGTGGGTGAGGATTGTTGCTACTTACACTTTGTGGGTGAGGATTTACATGCTTAGTTTGACCATTTTAGATATTTGTGAACAGCATGATATTCGACAATGTGATCAATGAAACACTACTTGTATACTATGAAGCTACCTGTACTGTACTGTACTGTACTGTACTACTGAGGTAAAGTCCGTAATCATGTAACACTTCATACACATGCTTAGTTTGACCATTTTACATATTTATGTACTATGAGGCTACCTGTATTGTACTGTACTGTACTACTGAGGTAAAATCTGTAAAATGTAACACTTCATATACATGCTTAGTTTGACCATATTACATATTTATGTACTATGAGGCTACCAGTACTGTACTGTACTGTACTACTGAGATAAATTCTGTAAACATGTAATACTTCACGTACATGCTTAGTTTGACCATTTTGCATATTTGTGAACAGCATGATGTTAGAGAGAGTGACAAAGGAAACACTGTACTTGTGTACAATGAAACTATTTGTACTGTACTGTACTACTGAGGTAAAATCTGTAAACATGTAACACTTCATATACATGCTTAGTTTTTGACCGTTTTTACATATTTGTGAACAGCATGTTATTTGACAATGAAATCAAGGAAACACTGTACTTGCATACTAAAGAGGCTACCTGTACTGTACTACTGAGGTAAAGTCTGTAAACATGTAACACTTCAGATACATGCTTAGTTTTTGACCGTTTTTACATATTTGTGAACAGCGTGTTATTTGACAATGAGATCAAGGAAACACTGTACTTGCATACTAAGAAGCTACCTGTACTGTACTGTACTACTGAGGTAAAGTCTGTAAACATGTAAAACTTCATATACATGCTTAGTTTTTGACCGTTTTTACATATTTGTGAACAGCATGTTATTTGACAATGAGATCAAGGAAACATTGTACTTGCATACTAAGAAGCTACCTGTACTGTACTACTGAGGTAAAGTCTGTAAACATGTAACATTTCATATACATGCTTAGTTTTTGACCGTTTTTACATATTTGTGAACAGCGTGTTATTTGACAATGAGATCAAGGAAACACTGTACTTGCATACTAAGAAGCTACCTGTACTGTACTACTGAGGTAAAATCTGTAAACATGTAACACTTCATATACATGCTTAGTTTTTGACCGTTTTTACATATTTGTGAACAGCATGTTATTTGACAATGAAATCAAGGAAACACTGTACTTGCATACTAAGAAGCTACCTGTACTGTACTGTACTACTGAGGTAAAGTCTGTAAACATGTAACACTTCATATACATGCTTAGTTTTTGACCGTTTTTACATATTTGTGAACAGCATGTTATTTGACAATGAGATCAAGGAAACACTGTACTTGCATTCTAAGAAGCTACCTGTACTGTACTGTACTACTGAGGTAAAATCTGTAAACATGTAAAACTTGATATACATGCTTAGTTTGACCATTTTACATATTTGGAATAGCATGATATGGGACAATATGATCAAGGAAACACTGTACCTGTGTACTATGAGGCTACCTGTACTGTACTACTGAGGTAAAATCTTTAAAATGTAACACTTCATATACATGCTTAGTTTGACCATATTACATATTTATGTACTACGAGGCTACCTGTACTGTAATGTACTAATGAGATAAATTCTGTAAACATGTAATACTTCACGTACATGCTTAGTTTGACCATTTTGCATATTTGTGAACAGCATGATGTTAGAGAGAGTGACAAAGGAAACACTGTACTTGTGTACAATGAAACTATTTGTACTGTACTGTACTACTGAGGTAAAATCTGTAAACATGTAACACTTCATATACATGCTTAGTTTTTGACCGTTTTTACATATTTGTGAACAGCATGTTATTTGACAATGAAATCAAGGAAACACTGTACTTGTGTACTATGAGGCTTCCTGTACTGTACTGTACTGTACTACTGAGGTAAAATCTGTAAACATGTAAAACTTCATATACATGCTTAGTTTGACCATTTTACATATTTGGAATAGCATGATATGGGACAATATGATCAAGGAAACACTGTACTTGTGTACTATGAGGCTACCTGTACTGTACTGTACTGTACTGTACTACTGAGGTAAAATCTGTAAACATGTAACACTTCATATACATGCTTAGTTTGACCATGTTACATATTTATGTACTATGAGGCTACCAGAAATGTACTGTACTAATGAGATAAATTCTGTAAACATGTAATACTTCACGTACATGCTTAGTTTGACCATTTTGCATATTTGTGAACAGCATGATGTTAGAGAGAGTGACAAAGGAAACACTGTACTTGTGTACAATGAAACTATTTGTACTGTACTGTACTACTGAGGTAAAATCTGTAAACATGTAACACTTCATATACATGCTTAGTTTTTGACCGTTTTTACATATTTGTGAACAGCATGTTATTTGACAATGAGATCAAGGAAACACTGTACTTGCATACTAAGAAGCTACCTGTACTGTACTGTACTACTGAGGTAAAGTCTGTAAACATAATTCTGGGAATAAAAACATGACCAAAAAAATGAAAAAACTATAAAAAAAAAAATAATTTGTTATCAATATGAAGTGTCTAAATGTATGAATGTGTGAGAGCATGATTTGATTGGTAGTTTGAATGTAATGTTGAACAAGAAGTTTCTTTCTACATTATTAATGTAGCAATAGTAAAATATTGTACTTATTATTTGTTTTAGGAATGCATTAACACAGAATACTTGTGTGGGTATATAGACACACCCCGGTGTCACCCACTGGGTATGTACATATTATCTTTTATCATGTATGTAATTATCTATGTGTGATTTAAATATCACCTCTATTATCATTTAAGTTGATCATTTGCATGTTAAATTACAACCTTTATGTAATGTTTTATACATCAGTGGTAATAAGAATAACTTATTATGAACTAGTTATGTGTAACTGTACTTGTTGCATGTTTAGATTTATGTATAACATTGTTTCTTATATTACAGGGTGACTGACTTATCAACTGAATAGTTGATACCTATATAGTTATGTTGGAATAAACGTCACCTCACAAACACACTCGAAGCTCGTCATTATTATTGACTCACCCCTGCAACATGTATACCTGTTATATACCTCCACACTTCGATTATTGTTGCCACATGTAGGACAACTGTACGAAAAAAACAGTCTATGATTCTGGAAAAGTTACAATTAGAAGCTCTAAAACGATTTGTGGAGCTGTGAGAGGAAATAGTCATGACAAAATCTACAAGGAGACCAAGTTCATACCATTAGTTAGGCGTAGAGAAATGAAGGAACTTACGTTATTCTACAAAATGAATAATAACTACTTATCTAATTATTATGACATAATAAGATTTGGACTTGAATTCAATTCTTCAAGGTAATCAAACTTCTAGCAACAGAATTAATCAGCTTATTCTTGACTTATTCTTAAATACATACTACTTTCAAATAGATTCAAATTATTCTAAACTCTTATGTATTCAATTACTATGAACCATGGAATGTTATTTTGTAGATATTTTCCTATCATTGTCCATTTCTTGCCTTTGTGGAATAATTGCTTCTGTACTTTGTTTGAATTGAATTATTAACTGTGTTTTGTTCTATTTAATGGGACCCGTGAAGATCCGAGGTAGAAAAGGTCTTTAGCAACCCATGCTTGCCGCAAAAGGCGACTATGCTTGTCGTAGGAGGCGACTAACGGGATCGGGTGGTCAGGCTCGCTGACTTGGTAGACACATGGCATCGGTTCCCAATTGCGCAGATCGATGCTCATGCTGTTGATCAACGGATTGTGTGGTCCAGACTCGATTATTTACAGACCGCCGCCATATAGCTGGAATATTGCTGAGTGTGGCGTAAATCTAAACTCACTCACTCACTGTATTTAATGGAGCGGCACTTTCATAAGCCGTTGGTTTGTTGTGCCAATCCATATTCATATAATTTCTAATTCATGAATAAAATATGTTTATAGCAAGAAAAAATCATGAAAAAAGTAACATGTATTTTGGAGATAAACTGCAATATGTAATAAACTGCGGTAATTTTTAATACAAACCGTGGTAAATTGTAACGAATGAACTGAGGTAAATTGTACTAACTCAATCTGCGGAAACAGAATATATTCAGCCCAAGTGGTCTGATTGTACAGCAATCGTTTTAATTCCGAAATACCTTTGAAAATACTGTAATCAAAGACGTTTAGTAGTGGACACCAATGGCGCATCCTCGACCAAGTAAGTCTTGATATCACTTGAAATATTCCTAACATATGTCCTGTCGCCACTCGGATTGTTTCACATAAAATGAAATAGAAAGTAGCCTGTGGCTAGTTGTGTCGCTATCACAGGCTTGGACATCACTGCTGTGTATACGTTCATGACAAAACATGAGGGCTGAATTTGCCATTTTTGTAGGAGGCGGAATTTTTTCTTTCAAGACGACGTTTGGCTTTTATACCATACATGTTACAGATGTACATGTTTTTCTAAATGTTTTCTCCTCATTATGTCAGAGAGTGAATTACCTTACCTTACTGGGGTGTTTGTGTCCACAAGATGCCTTGATAAACGACAAACAAACGTATAATGTCAAACTGACATCATTGTTCATGGCAGTTAATGTTTATGTCTATATGTCAGCTGACAGTTCCTTATATATACTCTTCAAAAACAAAGTAGGGGAACCTGAACTTTCAATTTAGATGAGGAAGTCTAAGCGTAAACAAACTTTTCAAAGACAGACATCTTATGAACACACCACTATTTCTCTTTATCAACACAACGCATGGGATGCACGTGCACAACGCAGTAGCCCCATACACGTACATGGTGTGTCCTTCTTGATTTTGACGGTTTTCAAGACGGTCGATAAGTCACTGTAAACCATTAATTTTGACAATCATCATGCATCATACAGTTGTTAGTGTTTGTTTATATCCGGGTTTTTTTGTTGCAATTTTCACGTCATACACCAATCCTCCTTCAAGAGTGATTACTGTACAAACACCTAT